TAAGCGCTTCCCGGACGCCGTGCTGCCAAGGGGCGAAAGCCCTAGGCCAGCGCGGGGACTCGGTCCCCGCGCCATGGCCTAGGGGCCAGCTGCAGGCGCTCCCCGGCGACACCGTGCGGCCAAGTTAGGGGCGAAAGCCCCAGGCCAGCGCGGGGACTGCTCGGTCCCCGTGTCATGGCCTAGGGGCCAGCTTTGGGCGCTTCGTTCCCGGACAACGAACGTGCGGCCAAGGGGGCTAGCTACGAACACTCCCCGGACACCACACCGCGCGGCCGAGGATGGAAGGGGCAGAGAAAAGCCCCAGGGCAGTGTGGGGACTCTGTCGCCGCGTCATGACCTGGGGGCCGGCTCCCGGCCCGGCACGCGCCAGTTAGTTTCTTCTTTTCTTTTATCTTTGCGCGCGGCAGGCTAATGAATCTAGTGCGCGCAAGCAAGGGGGCCGCGTCCGCAGGCCCGTCGCGGGTCAGTGAATGCAAGGCGCACCGAGATACCTAGCTGCAGGCGACCTGCCTGGCCAGTGCCACCGCGCAGACAAATGTAATGCCGGAAGGTCGCCGCACGGGGACTCTGTCCCCGTGCTCGGACCTTGTTTGTGATGCATGAAATGCGACACCAAAAAGACTGCATTGCAGGGGACGCAATGGAGCCCGACTATTGTGCTTATACGGGTTCAACATTGGGCTGCTGATTAGCACGAGAAAAGGGCACTTCTTTACCTTAACTAGCATGACAGATATGCTTTGGGTGCCCGGGAAATTTGCCATGCGCTGTGAAGAAATGGTGCTGCGTCTAGAGTCGATTTTTTGCATTGCAAATTATTTTCACTTTGAGGACATCCAACCTGGGGCTTTCATATGCGCATGGCAAACCGGAGGCAGACGAACCAGATTTCGCAGGAAACCGTCCGCAACGTTCGCAACGGGGCCGCGTTTGACACGTTCAGCATCGCGGGGGTGTTCAGCGAACTCCTGTATCGTGAGTAAAAACGTCCCCACCCCAGCGTCAAGAAGAGGACTTTGCAACACAAACCTAGAAGTTTTGGGAGTCACGCATGACAAGTTCCAGTCCGTAGTGTAGTGCAGGTTGGCAAGGACAGCCGCATTATAAATCCATCTGCTTATGCTGTTTCCAGCATCACAAATTCCAAGACACGGTTGGAAATGCCTATCAGGGGGATGCGCGTCACAAATGTTCCTGTCATTGCAAATCTGCATGACAACTCTGGGGTGGGGACGTTTTTACCAAGGATATTCTGCTTGGGGAAAACATCGCCTACCGCTACATCCACGTCCAGCAGCGGAATTTCGACGGGTTGCCCTACAAGGTGGATTGGTATGAACTGCAAAAGTATCGTACTAGTAGTGATTGCAATACAAATTAACTCAGCATGCCAAATGGAATTTGTCATGCGGATTTGCCTTAAGAAAAAGATTTGTTATGCGTAAACGCAATTAGTACGAATACGATACTTTTGCACAGGATAATCGGGTCAAGTTTACCAACCTCATCAACAGCCAGCAGGCGTTCGAATCCCAAGTTCTCCGCATCGCCGAGGCCAATCGGATGAAGGGCAGGACCACGCAGAGCACCTTGGCGGAAAACCCGAACAGAAATCTCGGTTACGCCCAGGACTACAGTCGGGTCACTGCAGCTGGCACCAGTCCCCGGCCGGACGGAAGAACTACCCGGGGCGAACCGATCCTGGACCGCTTTCAGTTGCTGCAGGCGATCATTGCGGAGTACCCGCGCTTCTTAGAATTCTGGCGCGGGATATGGAGGCGTCAGGATTGAAATCGTCAAAGTTGAAATGATTTGCCACGCATAAAATGGATACCAGTTCTTGGAAGCCCAATTTCCAAGCGGCGCATGACAAATTTTCGGAGCACCGGAACCCAATTTGTCATGCTGTTTGGGCACAGAAGACTGCCTTAGTCATACTCATCTTTTAGCAGCTCTATTGAAAACCCTAAATAGGCTCGCAATCTGCCTCGCTTGCCATCCCGGCAAGACAGGCACTTCATGGCTTGCATTTTACGCATGACAAATCATTTCAATTTTGACGATTTCAAACCTGACAGTTCCATACGGGATGTGGAGCGCGAGCGTGAGCTACCGGATGACCGCGGCAGAAAACATGTGGAAGATGTTTCACCCGGTTCCGAAGGTGGAACAAGTGCAGCAAGGAGCGGCAACATCGGGGCAGAAGATTCCGACCGCCGAAATCGAGGACGATGATGCGGAATACGGAGAGATCAGGGAAATTTGAGCATGTTGCTTACGACGAGGACTTTTGTCACAGCTGGAGGACGAAAACACGGCTCACTTCGAGTGTGAGTGTGTCCTGCAAAAGAGTAGATCTCCTTGTTGTTCGCCATCGCCAGGAAATTGAAATTCATATTGGTGACGATGTCGCTCAAAAAATTGCGCGTTCAGCCAGAAAGCCGCGCACACGATTGCGTCGGTAAATTCATGAAACGAGATTTCACAGGGACAGATGACAGATCCAGATGCTGTCGCGTCAATACTTACGTACGAAGTAAATCGCTTTTGATTTCGAATGAAAGAACGGATTTATGTCTCCTCTGTCACCCTCTCACACACAGACACACCATCCTTCGGCAGCTTTCCGCTTCACCGATCGTATGCGCTATGTAATGTAGAAACATGTACAATCCGCACAGGACGACCTCTTATCTCTGCGCCAATACAAATGAAGATTTTTTTGTCTGCCAAAATGCACCCAATTGAGACAGTTCGGGTCTTATCAGAAGTTCAAATTTTGTTGTCTGCGAAACGAAAAGAAATTGTCAGTCTGTAGTCTGCGAAACGAAAACAAGGATTGAGGTGAGGATACAACAAGAAATTCAAATTTATTCCTCGCGGCAGAACACGTTTTGTTCGGTTTTGCGCAGACGAAAATGATTGCAGCTTCGTGCTGCAGGATATGGGAGAACCGATTGGTGTTCACAGTGAAGTGTTGAGGAGGCCTGAGAACTTTTTTTCGAAACAGAACGGAGGACGAGGAGCGAGAACACAATGAAACTAGTTTTATATGCAGTAGTAGATATCTTCTTGTTCTGTTTATGCACGACGACGACGGTCTTGATTTTGTGCAAGAGAGAAGTCGAGTTGTGAGGAGAAAACAAAGCAGGTGCAACGTCAGCAATACAAGTTCACATCATGACTCCGTGACGCAGAAGCGTTTTGATCCTCTTTTTGTGCGTTCTCAGGGACGACAACTACGAGAACTACACAGGGTAAGTACGCGCGCCAATCGTTTTTCATCGGTTCAGCGCCGCCCAAATAAGTAATATTAAACGCTCTCTGGTAAGCGTAAGTACATGATCGTCGATCAGTTGCATCGATTTTCTTTACTACAGACAACGAAAACCCTTCGACCTTTTTTCATTTGCAGTTGCAACTGACTTGCCGAGGATCGGATGATGACCCCTCCGGCTGCACCAGCACTCCTTCACCTGTCGTTCCTGCTTGCGGCCACGCTGCAGATTATCCAACGCTTTGACGACCGTCTTCCTTTCGCACATGCGTTCGAGGCGGTTTACCCAGCTGTGGAAACCAGTTCGGGGCCCTTTCTGTATCTGGGCTCTGAACAAGACAGCTTGCTTGCGGAGGAACTGCGGCTGTTGCGGATAAAGCACTTACTCATCATCGCCTCCACCTCCAGCCCCCCGGCGACGAAAGAGGAGGCAGCAGCGTCCTCTGCGGCGAAATTGTCAAAAAACAGCACGGCGGGGACGACATCATCCGCCGGCGCGGCAGGCGGTCCGCCTACTTCGACCGGTAGTTCCGGCTCGATTGACGTGCTGGATCTGAAGAGAAAACTACAAGTGCTGGATAAGGGAAAAGACCGCGCGACCTACGAGTTCCTGTTGCAGAGCGGACAGAACCCGAGCTCTCTGCTGAGCGTCGTGGAGATCCAGAAGGGCGTGGATTGGCTGCAGAAAAGCATGGAAGAGGTCGAGGCCCTCCCCCGGCTGCCCTCCGGCATGGCGCAGGGGCACGTCCTGGTGGTCTCGAAAGACGGATGCACGCGGGCTGGCACCATCGCAGCGGCGTGGCTGCTGAAGCGCATGCAGATCTCCGCCGAGCAGGCGATTGCGCACGTGCGGCAGAAGCGCGATTGCTTCGCGCCAACGCATATCCCGTGCAAAAGTATCGTACTCGTATAAATGCATTACAGCGTGAGAAATGTAAATGAAATTTGTAATGCGGATTTACCTCAAGAAAAATATTTGTAATGCATTATTGCAATACGAGTGCGATACTTTTGCACAGGATAACACAGGAGCTGTTTGAGAACCTCCTGCCGTATTCTCCGAAAATTAACCATCCCCATCCACTTTTTGCATGACAAACCCAGACTTTACTACATGTCTTGCATGACAAATTTGCTAGGAATGGTTAATTTTCACAGAATACGCCGTTCGAAGAGATCGAGCCGCCCGCGCCCGTATCCTGCGCAAAAGTATCGTACTCGTACTGATTGCAGTTATGCATTACAAATCTAGGTGTTCAGGGAAATCAGCATTACAAATTCAATTCGTAAAAATGCTGAGCCGATTTGTAATGCAATTCATACTAGTACGTTACTTTTGCAGTTCATAGCCCGACGAGAACGACAGCCTGTCTGCGGACAAAACAGGGCGGGAGAAGTCTTTTCATGAGGAGCGCCGCATCAGCACGCGAATCGCGGAAGCGCACGACACGGACGAAAAAGCAGTGTTCATCTAGGGAAGTGGCAGGTTGGAAATCGACACTGTTGAAACGATTCGTGTTGACGGCGCGTATTAAACTCGATCATACCTCCTGTTTTTGACACCGATATGCAATTTGTCATTCGAAAGTGACACCGATATGCAATACCTGTGTTTGGTCCACACCCAAGTCCGAAAAGACCTAGCCTCATAACAGCCGCGCCCTTATGGTATAGATCAACCGATCGCCATAGAAGATCGGCGCTCAGCTGCTCTCGGGCTGGAGGAGGGAGTAGCGCGCAGCAGTTCGCTACAGGGCACACTGCCAGCATCGTCATCAATTTGCCACTCTGTTTGATGTAGTTGCAAATGGGGCTAAAACTCGCACCATGCCCTTAAGTAGCCATATTGTTCTTGCCCCTAGTTGGGCTTGCGATCGGCCTCATTCGCCTCCTCTGACGTGTTTCCGTACTTGCATTCTATACTTACAAGTATCAATCCTGTTCATGATGATATTGCGCCTAGCATAATTTCGTGCATGGCAGATCGTCTCAATTCGTCTTGTCGATTTCGCGCCTGGCGCTTCGATAGCGTGAAAAATTGCGAGATGATACACGACGCCTTTTGGTTTTACGGCGATCTCGAGCCGCTGACCGGGGGCGACGCACTGTACGACATCCCGTCGGCCACGGACTGCTTATCACAAGAAAAAGTGTTAACTTTTTTAACGGTTTTCACAGATTGCAGTCATGCATCACAAATGTAGCCCAATATGCATGCTATGCATTACAAATTTTGGTGAAATGTAGTTTTGTGATGCATTGCTGCATCACAAATTCCGTTAACGTGAACGCTTTTTGCTGTGATACTGCTGCGCGGAGTGCGACAAACACCCCGAATGCTACTATGGAAGTGTCCGGATCGAAATCAACAAAATCGAAATGATTCGCGATGCATAAAATCGATACCACTTGGAGCCTCAGGTCTTTTCAAGTGGCGCATGACAAAATTCGGGAGCACCAAAAATCTGTCTGTCATTCTGTTTGGGCAAAGAAGACTTTTCCTGTCGCGCTGCTCCGGCCGCACATCGCCTTCCCCGATGAAACAGGCTTGCAATCGGTCTCATTTGCCTGCTCCCCAGCACAGGCCTTACTTGCCCTACATTTCATATATGCATTACAAATTTTTCGATTTTGTCGATTTCGATCCTGACACATCGATAGCTACAAGTGGAGCTACGGCCTCGCGGGGAAGGACCGGCGGAAGTGTTTTTTGAAGCGCAAGACGGACGGATACGTCGGCGATAGAACGCATTTTGTCAGCGGAAAAGCAACCAAGCGGACCCTACCCAGGTCGGCGGAAGAGCTGTGATAGAAAGTGAAGATCTTGTGAACTTTATTGCTGAATATTTATATGATCTTCTTCGGCTTCTGTTGATGACGAGGCATCTGCTGATTGATGACGAGGCATATGTTGATTGATGACGAGGCATAGGAAAAACCCGTGCATGAAATAAAACTTCCCCCTGTATCCAAAATAAAACACAAAAACGTACAAGATCATCGGCCGTCGTCGAGAAGATTGCTCGCCAGTACAACTTAGATCATTTTTCTCATGTTCTGGGTGCTATGGCTCTACAAATGAGCTTGTGCAAGCCCAAGCTGCTGTTGTAGTTCAAGTTCTTCGGATTGCAGATAGATTCGCTTCTTGTTTTGCCACCGTGATTTTGTTTCTGTGATTTAGCATTTCACAATGTTTCTCCCTAATGGGGCGGTATTATGATCGTTCTCGTTGAGAAGTTTGAGTTTCGTACGTGTTGTGGTCGTAGCTGCAGAAATATCTATCCAGACCTTAGATTTGCGTTCCTTTTTTTTGTATAAATATAGTTGCCCTTATTTTCTTCATATATTATTTAATGATTTTATTGAGCAGAAGTTTCATTTCTCCAGCGATACAACGCAGCAACAGTTTCGATCTTGTGACTCTTCCTGCTCCTCATGTCTTCAACATTCGTTATTGCAGCTTCAGAAGCTCCGTGGACGAGATCGTGAGAAGTAGTGGAAATAGGGGACTCATTTTGCATTTGCAACATGAGATACTTATTTTCACCAGTAGTTCCTTCTTCGCAACGAAGCGTAGGAACGAGGAGAAGATCAACACCAGCCTCGCGCTGCCGCATCGAAGCGAAGGAGCCGCTTCCTGTTGCGAATAAAGGGCGCACTTCGACGATTTTGACCGCGTCGACATAAAAAATCATTGCGAAATAACGGAGCCACAAGATACATACCTACGGACATCTCAACATCAACACCACCGAAGATGCACCTGCGCTTTGATGTATACTTGCTAAAAATCTTAAGTAATATGCACTTCTAACTATAGGATCTTGTGAACGAGGATCAAAGTAGAAAAGCCTTCACCAATGTGACACAAGAAAAATACGAAATTCTATATTGAGCCATCATGTCATCGAGCAGTAGTTCGACTCGAAATCTCCAAGTGCACCTGTTGGAAGCTCGTGGGCTCCACACGCTTCAGCCGCACAAGCTGCGTCTCCGTCTCCAATTGGTTTGGCCAGAGGACCGCCTCGGGGAAACGTTTGGGGTGAAAGTAACGCCCTGGACGGACACGGTTGTACAATCTGCTTCGAGATCAACGTCAACCACAACAACTATAACCTGGCGCCCAGTTGGCTGCCAGTTCCCAGTCGACAGTCAGTTGCTGCTCAGTTCTGGTCGAAACATGGTGATTCGTGTCACGTTGCAGGTCTTGTTAGCGCCGGCAGGCACGAGAGCCAAGTCCTCGGGGTCATTCTTCACGCGGGCCTTGCCATCTTCAAGCCAGGAGGACCAAATTGCGGATCTGGCGACTATATCCTGTGCAAAAGTATCGTACTCGTACTAATTGCAGATATGCATGACAAATCCAACTTTCTACCTGAAATAGCATGACAAATTACATTTTTGTTCTTGGGAAAATTTGTAATGCAATTTATACTAGTACGATAGGATAGTTTTGCAATGCATAGACTATGGAAGTAAGCGACTTTTACGGACCGGTGTTCGAGCAATATCAGGGCGCCATGAGTCGCGACCTCGTATGCATTGCACCGAATATGATGTCTCTTGGGTCGGGAAATTATAAAGTGCAAACTTACTTGGTGGAACATGTGCGAAAGCTGTATCAAATTCTTCACAGCACGAAAATCGAAATTTGTTTCGCATGTTGCTGAGTGATGAACCGGTTCATTTTTCTCTTCGCAAGCAGCGAACTTCTCATGCGGAGCTGGCATTCACGAGTTCGGCGCTAAACCTGTAGGGCTTTCGCGTGTATTCTAGCAAACCACCTGCGTGATCAAGATAGATGACAATAACACGCGCATCAACTATTATGTCCCAGATGCAAACATATTCGGATTCTATAGCTCTTTTTTGACGACGACGTGTGCTTCAAACTGGTCCTGAAAGATGGCTATGCAATGGCAAAAGTATCAGCAGCGACCTGCTAACTAGAAGATGAAATTGCATGCGACATTTTTTCTAACAAAGAAGGAACTACAAGCATGGAGTTCGTATGCAAAAATCAATGCTGAATCAGTATGATCAGGACGAGGGACCACGAGGAAAGTGAATCCCCGTGCTGTGCTGCAATTAGAATTAGTACGAGCAGCGCGTGATACAACAACTTTTGCAGAGGATAATGGTAGTGCAGGGTCCTCAAAACGGCCGTTGTCAAAGTCTGGGGAAGTAGGCGACAACAGAATTGCACCTAGATCCGCCGGGCCGGCTCCCGCTCCCGCGTCCGCCTCTACAGCAACATCGGTAGCTGGGCCACCCCCACCAGGGCCTCCAGCACAGGCACCGGGGGGTCGCGCAGGAGTCGCAAATTCTTCGTCCGTTCCGTCTGGCGCGAGTGAAGACCGAGCCCCTGACCCTGAGGAAGACGATGCCCTCTATCGCGAAAATGTGCCGGGACTTTTCGGAGCGCTTGGTGGAGCCATCGCAATTCTTGGGGGGACCACGGCGTCTAGCAACATGAACACCGACGAGGTCTCCAAGCGAGGACAGTACAACGATCCAGAAAAATCGTCATCTGCGGAGCAGGTGTTTTCGAACACACTGGCGCCGGGATTCTTGTCCTTGGACGCCACAAGAAATATCAACGGTGCAGAGATGAAGATGAAGAAAAAGAAGAAGAAAAAGAAGGAAATAAATGACACAGCTTCATCCGTTCTTTCCGAGCGCGGCACAAAAGCGCAGATAATTTCTTCAACTCCTTCGACCGTCGAATACTACTCGGTGTCTTCTCGGGCGGTCGTCCCCAAGGCTGGTCTTGATTTCATCTCCGGTAGAAGTTCTTCTTCATCATCATCATCATCTGCCAACGGATTTACCCGCGTTGCCCCCACAGGCTCGGACGAGATGAATTTGAATGCGATTGGGATTACCTTCGACCACTCCGGTATTGCTGGCCGCGGCGGGGTATCAAATGTAAAAATGTCTGGGTCTGGAAACTTGTGATGCTGGGTGGCGTCTCATGATGAGGCTACAGATGCTGGCTCAACATGACAAGTTTCTGAGCTCCTAGGTGTTGCCTATTCTGCATGACAAACTGCGCTTCTGCATCACAGAAGAACGGCGTTCTTGTGTAACGTGCATGACAGATTTAAGAGTCATGCCAGACAAGCATGACAAACATGAATGCTTCCAGACCCAGACACCTTTACAGTTGATACGGGGGTGGAGGAGAGAACACTACAAATGCAAACACTTTATCAGGCTCGCAAAAAGTGAATATGTCCAAATCCTCTTCGTCCTCCTCCTCGCTGGAAGAGGATCAAACTAATCACGACGACCTCGTGAATATGTACGAAGACGATGCCGCGTGGCTGCGGATTCAGGGGCAGCAAGGTAGCGCAGGAGCGTGCGGAAGTAGTGGTCCTAGTAGGGTGGATCATCATGGAGGTCCAGGCCCACCAGCTGCAAGTTCATCTCAGAGTCCGGGGGACGAAGCAGAGGGGCAGCAGCGTGGGAATGGCATTCATCTCGTGCGAGGAGGCAGAAGTGCCTCTAGAACCTCCGAGCCAACAAGAGCAGAATCTACGAAAAGCTGCACAGGCTTCACGGCGTCGGGCCCGGGCTCTTTTCGTGCCACGACTAACCCTAGCCAAAGCCCTCAGCCGCGGCCTAATAGTTCAAGTTCCAACTACAAGAATGATTCTGGTGACCCTGCACGAAACACCACATCCTCCGATTTCAACATTTTCACCATCAGTATCAACAAAGTCCCGCTCAAAAAAAAGTGCAGCCCAGGCAACTGGTGTAGGGGTCGCGCAAGAAAAAGCCGGGCAGGAGCTCTTTCATGTTTACATCAAGTTGATGGCTCCCTAACAGGCATCTTGACTTCACCAGTCGACAAGCACATGAATTTCATCGCTATCCAACATTTTTGTATTGCCACGGCCCGACAAGGACAACTACAAATAAGACCCGACAACTGTTATACGACAGTTCTCGGCAAAGAAATGTTTCTCCCACGGAGCGCGTGCTCTGCGCATGAATACCACGTTGTCAAGCTGTACTGGTGCTGGGTCTTCCTTGTTCTAGTAGTTCTACTGCAGTTGTTGCAGATGAGGCTGCACTGTGATACTTTTTCCGCTTGATGCCAAACGCCGCGGAACCGGCCTCCTGGACGGAGAGCTTTTCGTGGTTCTTCCAAGAAGTCGTCGGTGGAGGTGGTACTATAGGAGCGCCGGCTTCCGCTTGGTATTATTTTTCGCGCCAAGGAACAACAACAGCCGGTGCGGAAGTAGCTTCAAGGCGGTCGTCGACGTTGATGAGCAACGCGTCCTCGTCGTGGAGGAGTGGGCCGCACCAGAGCGGAGGTAACAGGACATCAGGTGGAACTACTTCTACCCAGCACATTTTTTCGTCCTCGTCGTCTTCTGCCCAAAAGAACCAAAACGGAGGAGCGGAACTAGCACTAGGAAACGAGGACCACCAGCAGTCGACGTACTTCTACGACCATCAACAGCTGTTGCAGGGTCTCTCCAAGCTGGAAATTGCTTTGAAGAAGAGCAGCGCGGACCTCCAAGCGACGCTCGCACAACTGAAGCCGCTGGTGGGAGCCGTGAGACAAGAGCACGAAGCTACAGGCGGATAAGGAGTGTAATTGTAGTTTCACCGTAGCCGTACGAGCACTACTTTCATCACAAAAATGAAATCAATGCTATGAAAAACGAAATTAAGCATGCGGGTTCAGCTAATATAGGTCTATTTGTCCTCGTTGTACAAGAATATTGCACTTAAGTACGAGCGCGATGCAACTTTTGCACAGAATACAGCAAGAGCAGTCGCGGCTTCGTCTGCCAACAGGTCATCTGAGCCTCCTTCTTCCACCAACAGCACCGTCTACACTTCCTCTGATGAAGGGTTGCAAGATTTGGTGCATTTTTTGGAGCTCGTTTCGCAGGTCGTTTCGTCCGCCATGAGCCGGCAAAAACCAACTTCAACAGCAGCGGGAGACGGAGCCAGAGAAACACAACCAGTAGGCACACGCACATCAACCGGAGGGTTTAGTAATTTCATCTTCCAGCAGCTCGACCACAAAGCTCGTGGCGCAGACGCAGAGAACGAGGCTGCACTAGCGGACTCGCTAAGCGCAATCGGATCATTACTCGACCTAATACATAGTGGCACTTCTACTTCTATGCCAGCACAGCCACAGGACCGCATTGATTCACGACAAGAACCACCGCGGCTGGTGTCGCACCGAGTACTAGAGCATCCGGACCAGAGAATCGGCGGGGGCACGTCTGGACGTGGTGAAAAACTCGATCTACACGAGGACCTTGAGTCGGTTTCCGTGCTCCTCGAGTCGGTCAAACTCGAGGAAGCGTTGCTCCTCGCCGAACTTCAGAAACTGTTAACAAAGCTGCAGCTGCTAGCTTTCGAGTACACCTCCGGAGACGAAGCTCAGGCAGCAGGTCTTGGTGAGTATCATCATGCAGCCGGGGCTCATAAAAATTTTCTTGCCCACCAAATCACAAATCGACCTCAACAACGTGCACTTGGTCAACAGCAGACCACCACCAGCAGCAAGGAATTGAACATGAAAAAAGCACTTCTTTGCCTCTCTAAGGCTGCAACAAGTTCAACGGCGACCTCAGGCACTACAGGGTCTGGGCTAGTAGCGCCGGGAATGCAACACAACGGGGCTGCTGCAGTAAATGTAGATGTCTTGCCGCAAGGAAAAGCAGCGAACTCAATTGGAGGTGGAGCGCCACAGTCTTCTACCGTCGATCCCTACTACGCACGGCTCCTATGCATCATGAACTTTAGTTTCAACTACTACGTACACGTTTTTGTAAAGGCGCCAGAAATATCAAATGACTCCTCGGAAGGACAACCAAAGAATTACAATCGCGTGGCCCACTTGTCTGCATCATGACAAAAGCAGGAAGCAGCTTGGTCGTGACCACGTTTTCTTCCCAAAGGCAGGTCGTCCTTCTAATTTGTTGATGTAAGTACTACGTGTGCTGGAATGTAGTTGACCAGAAGTTTTCATGTGGATGTCCCATAGCCTACGCGAACGATTGTCGCAAGCTGCTGGCTGTCGACTCCTGGCAATTGCTGAGCTACCGGGTCTATGCATTGTGATGCTATGTCTGGATCTGGATCTAGACAGAGGAAGACGATGAAGGGAAAATTTCTAAGTCATGAGGCTCAAGGCACTTTTGCACGTTAATACCCACAAGCTGCTCATCTTTTCTGTTATGATGCGGGAACGCAGTTCGCCATGCAGCAGCAGCGAACTTACTACACAGGGAGGCCTAGTATCATGAGTCGAGAACTTCGTCCCGCGCTTTGCAGTCAAGAATCAATTGAGCCGTGCACGTGAAGATTCTGTTTCTCGTCCAAGCCCAACCTGCATGAGAAATCGCCAAACCCAGACACATTTGCATTCGATAGCGAGCGCAGGTACCAGCAAAGGTGCGTGACTCTGCGAACGATGGTCAAGCAGATTAGGATAAAAATATTGACTACCAAGTAAAGTGGGAGGAAAGAAAAGAAGTAGGCACTGGTAGCACCACTCCTGCCACTAGAACAAGAACTGCAGCTGCTTGGGCTATTGAGAAGACGCTAACATCAAGGCCGGGTGGATGGAGCAAAAACTGCAACGGAGCTGATAACGAGAATAAAGTGGATCTTTGGCATCGATTCAAGCTTGTCCCTTGTTGTTCTCCGCATGTAATATTTATGTGATTAGATTCTTCTTGCGTCTTCATCTCGACCATCAGTCCTTCCCGCGAGCAGCGGGACCATACCTTAGTAGTCGTGGCATCCGTCATCTTTCCCAAGGAGTAGGAGGAGCAAGGAGGACATGAACATGTTCGTGTGTTTGTAGAAGAGGAAGCTAGAAGCACCTGGAAAACCAGGAGATAGAGAGAGTTGAGCAGGATCGTAAAACCCGACGAAGATTATAGATGAGCATCTACAAGACGCATTATCTTTGCGAGGATGTTGGCACGATCCAACGCCTGCCTATAGTCGTGACAGAGAAGATTCTTTACAAAAGATCCAGCTTAATTTATTGTCAATCCAATGTTGTTGATCTTGATCCTTGAAAAATAAATACGGATCTTCGTGTGACAGAAACAGAAAAGAACTTGTATGAAAAGTTAAAGCATCTATTCGAAATGGGTTCTGTCAGCTGCGAATGTGTTTATGAAAACTCTGCTTGAAGATCAATCTTCTTCTCCGTGACTCCTGAACAACGACTGGTCATTGTTTGGAAGATCAAAAGCATGAATAATTAAGAGTCCGCTGTGCAAGACCACGAAGTGATCTTCTGATGAGAAAAAAAAATGATCAAAATCAAAGCTCAACAACCAACTTCAAAGTTGTGATTGTACAGATCACGACGACCGTTTGCGTTGGGCCTCGTCGAGGTTCAATTCTATGCGCAACATCAGAAATCTTTTGACGCATCTCATTATGTCTAGCAGGCGTGTGGTCGCAGTCGAGGTCGTGTCTGTACTTTAATTGGTCGTAGAGATAATTGTAGTCAGCTCTAGATTTCTTTTTCTTCAGTGTTTTACTTGCGAGCCTCCTGTTGAAGAACCAAGTACATTTCTTACCCACATGGACTACTTTTTGACATAGCTTTTTTTGTCATAATTTAAATTTCGCAAAGAACAGCAAGCCAACATGCCGCGCAGCAAGAGAAATCGGGTGGTCACCTTGTCCAAGGTGAAGAAGTCGGACGCAAAAGACAAGAAAGACGACCTCATCGAGAAAATTCAGGATGCTGTGGAAAATCACAAATACTGCTTCGTTCTCATATCCCGAGGAAAAAACTTCAAAAATCAACCGCATCTTCATGTCCCCGTGAGTACTCGTCACAGGGCAAGAATCTACCTGTATTGAATAAAAGCATATGGGTCTACTGGCCGACGAGGAATAGTAAGTACATAAATTTGTTCACTACCACGAGTTATTCTTGTCGAGCCGTTGTATTGATCAAAGAAGGTACGCGCACACGCACGACACCAGTCATCATTATTTTGCCCTCAAAATGGATCTTTCCAGGCCTGGAAGTATAGATACCTAGTGCGCACTTATCATGCTTTGGCTACTATGTCTATAGCTTGGATTTTGCAGTGCGTAGAAGTCGTGGAATATTTATTTCTGTGTGACGAGCAGTACAGCACCGGGGCGGGGGGGCGGGATGATTTTTGACTTTCATATCCCAACGTGGAGAACCAGAGAAACGAACTTTTGAAGGAAGTGCGAGCCTTTTTCAGCAAGCAGCAAGACGGGAAAAAAGGCGTGCTATTCATGGGAAACAACAACATCATGCGGCTGGCACTCGGAAACAGTGTCGAAAACGAAATCTTCGAAAAAATATCGCACCTGGCCGAAAAAATCCAGAACGAATGCGCATTACTGTATAAAACTGATAGAAGATAATTTTTGATTGCAGTTATTTTTTTTTTTGGTTGTTTTAGCTTCCTAATACAGAAAAAAAAATCTCCTATTAAACTCGAGACTAAAACAAGTGCGGCGTAAGATGAAGACTGAATGAATTTGATCACGACCCCGAACCAAAAATCAAAATAGGTGCTGCGACATGGAGCCCTCTGAAGTGCAGCGATTTTTCATGGAATTCCAGAGGGAAACCTTCGCGCGGGCCGGCCTCGTCCCATCCGAACAATTCGTCATACCGAAGGGGGAATTGGCGTAAGATATCTTACACATTTAAAAACTTTCCTGATGAAATAATCAAATTCGTTTTTTGCTATTCACAAAGTGTAAATGAAGAATAACGCACTGGAGATAGCTCCATCTGCTTCATTGTCAAGTCGCGGATCTGTCACTGCCGGCACTCCTAACTAGGAGTGCCGGCAGTGACAGATGATCCGCGACTTGACAATGAAGCAGATGGTAACAAATGACCCGTTAACTCGCGCCCGCGAGTTAGCCGTCCGCCCGGCCGGGCGGACGGTTAACTCGCGGTTAGAAATGTACCGACAAATCGAAAGGTAGCACAAATTTGAATCGAAGTGCTCGCCAATCCTTGGCGAGCACTTCGGGGTAGATTTGCACCACAATTCGATTTGTCTACACTTCTAACCGCGAGTTAATCGCCCGGCCGGCCGGGCGGCCGGCTATCTCGCGGGTGCGAGTTAACGGGTCATTTGCTACCTCGCTTAACTTGTTGTTGCTCCGCAGATTCTATTCGTGCAAGGCTAAAAAATATTTTATTCTACGCATCACCATATCCTCACAACAGGCTTCCCTTTTCCATGGAGCAACACCTTCGCTCCCTGGGGCTTCCCACGATATTGAAGGACGGGAAAATCCAGATGCTCAGCGACTACACCGTGTGCACACCGACCAAGCCACTCACCGTGGACCAGTGCCAACTTTTGAAGCTGTTTGAGCAGAAGCTCGCGCTTTTCAGAATGCAGCCCATCGGCGTGTGGAGCAAGGAGGGAGCCAGCTATCGGAACATCAATGCACCGACAAAGTGAACAAATAAAGGAGGTGGAGGTGGAGGTGGAGCTCAGTCGTGTACTTGGAGAATTTCTGTTGCGGGGCAAAAATGATGAGACAGATATTGGACACTCGCACTACTGGGTTCTCACACTAGTACCCGAAGCAACTTTCGCTCTCTTCGTGTCTCCGGTGCGCTCCCGTTCTTTTCCGTACACAATCAGAAGATATATAAGTACTTGCAACAACATAAACATAATACTCAAGAAAATTATATAGAAGATGGGCAGAAGCGGGCAGAGCAGAGTCGCGCTTGTTCGGCTGTCTTTGCTACTGCTTTTTACTCATACTCCGAAGGAGCCTTACTCGAACGGCAAGAACGGTGTTCAGTTCAAACAACTGCAAGATAATTTGTGGACAACTTCAGTTCAGCATGGAGCTTTCGGTCAGTTGCAAGCCCAAATAAAGCACCGCTGATCTAATCAGGAATAATTTGGCTCATATCAACGGCGCTAAAAGAATGCTATGCAAGATCCACGAAAATGCGATCACTTCCCTTCACCATCAGGTGGACTGACTCTGAAAATGAATAAAAAAGATCAGATTTATCACCAAAAGAAAATAATAGAATTTGATACCGTTTTTCGAGTGTCGGTAATATATCAGTCGTCGGTGGAGTAGTAGGTCGTACTTCTGAAATGCACCTGGAGGAGCGGCCCTGCAGTCCGACGTTTGGAAATCACATTTTTGTCAGCAGGATCGATCGGCCTTTATTTCCTGTGGAAATCGGTTGACTAAACTTGTTCTATTTCGGCTTGGACTTTATCTTGTCTTCGCAAGACCAAGAGCATTTATTTTTTTATATTAGCGCATCCGCTTCAATTACAGGAGCGTTGTGTTGTCGCAACACCTCGAAACAAACAGCTGCCCTGACCAGTTCTTGCCGTATTAAGTCTAAGCACTTGTAAAAACTCTCTACATCTTCTACCACACTGGACGGTCGTGTACGCATCCCATCGATACGCACTTGCATTTGCAATTGCAACCAATCTAAAGAATCAACCCACTTTCTGCAAAGGAGCCCAGTTTATTTTACCTTAAACGTCCGAGTCTTCAGAATCAGATCTTCATTTTGTACCAAAAAAATGACGATGATTTCTGTGCGGTTGCTGTCGTTGGTGTCGATCTATTCGTTTCTGCAGCGCTCGTATGGCGCGGCTTGGAAGGTCCCCTCCGACAAATCCTCGATGCCAGCTGCAGCTTACCAGGTGGAACATCATCGTCCAGCTCCAGCTGCACCGTACCCCGTCGATCAGCCGCAGGAGACAATGAGCAATCTCGGGGAATCCGCGCCTCAGAAGTATGGCTCTCACATTCTACTGCCCCCCCGAGGAGTGTCTGCCGGGAGGAAAGCGTACCTGAGATGGAAAGAAACTGCGGTCTTTCGCAGGGAAGAGGCACTGCGATCAGTAATCCGGAAAGGCTTCGAAGCCTATACTACAGCAGTCTGGCTGAAACATTTGCAGTTTCCATATCCCGCGACGGATTCTGTGGCGGTCAAGAAGGTGTACAAGGAGGCCGGCAGCGCCCTGCTCGAAACTTTGTTAAAACACCCAGCGTGGGGTGCGCTTGCCAACACCGAGGCTGGTGCTGTCAACAAGGGCAGTGAGGTGCCCGCCGCCCTGGAGAAAGCTTTGAAAGAACCCCTGGACGAAATAAAAGAAAATGTGGAAGCGGCAGCCACGCAAAGGTACAATGACAAGGCCGCGAAGCATAAGAATTCCGTGGAGTATGACTATGACAAGTCCAAGGAGTTGTATGACAAGTCCGCGAAAGATTTTTTCATCCACTGCAAAGCCTTGGTCGATGCCATCGTGGTCAACTCTACCTCTACCTGGCGCAGCGCCGTGAAGCGCAATGCGATTCATCAGAAAGATTGCGTGGGAGCTTGGCTCGCGATGAGTTTTGATTTGCCAGACGGATGGAGGAGAATGGTCTGATCCTGATGGCGAGACGTGAGTTACCATGCGGCGATCAAGCGGGATCATGATTTTCAAGAAGCACGCGAGATTTTACTGAAATAACGAGATCTACTTGACAAAGACAAGCTCAAGCTAAAGATGAGCGTCGTTGAGGTTATAGTATGGAACTTTCTCAAGCTAGTATTTGTACAAATTATCGGTCAACATAATTGCTTCGGCTAATATCTTCTTCAAAGGAGTCGCACCATTCCTTCTACGTAGCCCCGATTTGTTGAGAGGGGCCAGTAGAAATAGAGAAGTGATAGTATTAGCAACACACGCACATCCACGATTTTTCGAAGATCTCCGACAAGAATTCCTTAAACGAGACCGGAGAGTGCGTTTTGATTGATTGATCATTGTATACTAGTTTTGGAAACCTAATTGTTTTGCGGAAGGTCAACATCACTTTCTCTAGTTTTGGAAGCTAGTGCAAACACAACAGCTGTACGAGGGCGCACCACCAAGCACGCACGTACAGCAGAGCGGGCACAGGACTAGATGCCTGCGTCTGTTTTTAAAAAACTCTCTCCTGTCGAGCTTTGTGCTTTTTACCTTTAAGGTATACCAAATACAAACTCAACAAAAAAGCACTTCAAAACTCACTGAAAAACCACTCTTCCACTCTTCTTTACATTCAAACAAAATCAAAATTTCTAAATATTGATTTCTAGCAAGAAGTACTCCTCGTCGGTAAAAGCAAAGCTTACGAAAAAAAGAGCTTAGTAGAAACTGACCGTAGAGATCAATACAACAAGAAACCATGATGGTGCGCGATGTCCATCATGCATGACAGACGATGGCGAAGAAGAGATGAAGGACATGGAACGTGAACAATGTACAACTACAAAAAGGTATAGCCACAGTGGATCTTCATCTCCTACATAGGAGTAATATAATGTCCTGCAACCCGACGTCCAGATGAAACACGGCGGCGAGGATTTTTAGTGCAGCTGTGCTACTTGGATCGTACTCGTTTGGGTCTTTTTCCTATAGTTCGCGACAAGTGTTCCGCGCTTCCTTGTTCGTTGTTAAATAGCACACACTTCACACATGCTGCACTACAGTGTGTTTTAGTTTACTTCATTTGCAAAAAAAGATGTGTCTCCAATAAGAAAATGGTTGCAACAAGCACAGCTAGCACCTCTCCGCCCGAGCAGCCGCAGCAAGGCGGGTCGGGAGCTGCTTCTGCACATAATCTGCCCACCGACCATGCTGATAGTACGCAACAAGCGCCGCAGGAGCCAGCAATATCCGGCAACCCGAGGCGGAATTTCCGGCTGAATTTGGAGAAGGTCGCAGAAGTTTTCAGCTTCGAGGGGGAGCTGGACTTGACCAAAACTACCGAGCTTCCGAGCTACGACGACCACAACTACCGAGTGTTTTTGAAGAAAAGTAGTCTCCACGAGGACAAGTCGTACGTTGTGAAAGCGCAAAACAGCAAATATGTGAGCGCCGACCACGTGCAACTGCAGGTGGAGGCAATGCTGCATCTGAAAGCAAAAGGTGTGCCCTGTCCGGTTCCGATCCCTGTTCAGGTAGAAGCTCATACCGCGCCTGAGGATGGAGGTACTAGCACAGCAACAAATCCGGATTGTACTACGAGAGAAATAACTGCAATACCCTCCTATCTTCACCACATTGAGGAGGACAACTGTTTGGTGCACGTGATCACTTTCATCGACGATTCTAAGCTCTTTCCGGAGAGGGATGACGCTACTGCCGAGTACGTGCAGAAGCCGCGAGAATTTTTCCAGCATTTGGGCGAAATAACCGCCGAAGTCCACGACGCCATGGAGGATTTTTGCGGGGGTGCAGATGAACGACACCCGTGGCGTTTGAAAACCGCAACTTTCACCTGGGAGTGGTATGCATTGCAAAAGTATCGCATTCGTAGCGATTGCAGTCATGCACTACAAAGCTTTTCATTAAGATAAATCCGCATTGCAAGTTCTATTTCTAACTGCTGAGGAAATTTGTAATGCGATTTTTACGAGTGCGATGCTTTTGCATTTCATAAGTGGTCGACGAGCACAATTCCCGAGGTTGTGGCGGACAAAATCGAGAAATTTCTGGGAAATGATGAGCCTGAGAGGAAGAAACTGCAAAAACTCTTGGCCGAGCGAGTTGCGAACGTTTTGCCCTTAACGCCGGAGAAAGTGGAAAAGGAATTGGGAAGAGCGAGTTCTTCGCTTTATGACAAGCAGCATAATGGAGTTGTAGACCCCGACTGCGAGCAGGACAACACGCACGGGAGAACGAAAGAAGTACAGTTCCTCAGCCGCTTTTTTCGCAAGCAGTGGGTCCACACAGACTTGAACGACACGAACATTTTGTTCCGCGCCATCGATTTGCACACGAAGTGCTTTGAGTACGGCGCGGTGCTAGATTTCGGCGACAGCTGCTTCGACTACTGTCTCTACGACATCGGGATCACTGCGGCCTATGCCTGCATGTACCAAGAAACCCTATCCATTGCGGAAATCATCGCCAACATTTGCTACGGGTACTTCCACCAGGGAACGACGCAGTTTCCCAAGGAGTGTCTGCAATACGTGTACGCCGTGGCCGTCGGTCGGACGCTGTTGTCACTCACCTGTGCCTGCGAGCAGATTTTCCTGCAGCCAGATAACGAGTACGTGGCCCATACCGCACAGCCTTTGAAAGACGTGGCTGGGAAACACTTGGCGGAGTTTGTATGCAGTGGAAAAGGATCGTATTAGTACTAATTGCATTACAAATTAGCTCAGTATGAGAAATAAAATTTGTCATGCGGATTTGACTTGGGAAAATAATTTGTAATGCATGAATGCGATTAGTACGAGTGCGATACTTTTGCACAGGATAGTTTGAGTCTTTGGACGACGCAGTGGAGAAAATTGCGAAGTGCCTGCTGCTATGAAATGCAAATATGTCTGGGTCTGGAAAATTGGAACTTGTGATGCTAAGTTTAGACTCTAAAAAAATCTGTATTGCATGACAAGCAAGATAAGTCTAGCTTATGCGACGCGGGGAGGGCATTTGTCATGCGGAGTAGGCATCAGGAAGCCCTCGAAAAATCTGTGATGCTAGGTCGTGCATTACAGACATCCTGGGTCATGCAAAATATGCATGACAAACCCGGCAACATTCCAGACCCAGACATTTTTACATTTGATAGCTGCTCCTCCACGCCGATGCTGCGAGGGAATGATTTGTATGGGAAGATTTATTGACTGTCAAAGATCTTCTTTCCGTTTGACATTGACGGGTCGTGATATTCGTTTGAGTGACCTCTTACTGGATTCACAAAATCATGCTGTAGCGCATCCTGTTTTATTTCTTTTGGCGATGCCGCATATTTTTAGACGACCGAGCTACGCAAATGGAGTTGCGGAATGCTCTTCGGTCATGCCAGAAAAGGTACCTATAAGGTGTTCCGACTACTAGAAGCTTCAAATCGTCTTCAATCGCAGTCGAGAAGGGTAGTCGTTCGGCCAAATTTCGATTTGATATAAGTATGCAAGCAAAATCTCCCGCCCGACCCCGAAAAGCTGAAAATTCGAGATGGAGCGAACCTTTAGAGAGGGGTGAATATCGTCGAGAGTAGAACCATCTATTGTAGTATGACTAGAATTATACACGACCTTCGTCCCAATGTACCTCAAAGGCAGCGCGGCTCTTTTCTAGCTAGCGACTTCCGGACCTCAAGCGGCAACTTCCTTGCCGCTTCCTGACTTGGTACATGCCATAAAGTTTCCTGGCTACCGAGTAAAGGCGGGTCCTACAAAAATGATTTGCTGACTCCGTAGTTTTGTTTCGCGTTGATTTGCCTCAAGCTATGGCCGCGATTCACTAACAGTCAGCAACAGTTGTATTTTTTGATAACACTGTCCTCTCTATCTCATTTTGGAAACATGAATGCCAAGAACGAGATGACAGATCTTGAAATCGTCACAGATCAAAATGAATAGGGTATAGAAGTACGAATTTTTTGAAACGGGGAACAACTTGTCTCCCCCTTCACGACTAAATAGTCGATCACAGTCAATTATAGATCAAGAACCCCAGTACAATCACGATGCCCGACACGACCAAGACGAACACGGTTACTTTTTCGGAGCGGCCTCCCTCCACCTGTAGCTCCATTCCGTTCGCAACGAAGCCGCCCAGTCGTAGCGGCCTCAGCTCCGCCGGGGGAGCGGGTGCGCCGCCGGGTGTAGTTGCGCAAAATGCACTGAACCCGGCTCCGGCCTCCGGGGCCGCTCCAGGGCCAGCTGCTCCCGTCGTTCTGACCCAGAACCTGCACCCGGGGCTTCCACCAGCTGCACCCGGCTCTGCCCGGAGTGAGCAGGCCCTCGCTCCGGGTTCCGCCGGAGGGTCTGCCAGGGGTAAAAGTCCAGCCGAAGTCGTGCAGGGGCAGGCAGAGGTGCTACCTGCGTCAGCCAGAAGTGCGGCGGACCAACAGCTACTCGCCACGGCGGAAGCGCAGGCCCAGCAGCAGATGGTGAGCGAATTACAGCAAGACCCGGAACTACAGCAGCACCAACCCGAGTCGATGAGTTTTGTGGAAGCAGAAACGAACCCCGTGTACCACGAGGGCCGTTACATCGCCTACAAAGCGCGGGTGAAGAATCTCGGCGGCTGCCAGTTGCGACCGCCCTTCGCGAAAGACTATGATGATGAAACAGGTGAGTACTTGATCTACACCTTCTTCAACTTTTTTGCTTCCGTTCTATTCGGAAGATTATGATCTAGAACTCCAACTCGGAAGATGATCATGTTATTTCATGGCACAACTGGTGCGGGAATGTATATTTTTGGATTTGGTGGAGGGAACTCTGACTCGTATAGAATTTATCATTGCTGCACGCTAACTTCCTTCCCTTAATAGCCCAAGACCTCCCCCCGCCGTGGTTGGTGCGGTACCCGGAGCGGGCCGAGCTACCACCGATCGGCGGCCCCGGCGAACCCCCGCTGCCGACAGCAGCGACGAGTACATTTATTTTTTGATGCTGGAGGCTGGACCACTATAATTCATGTTCGTGATCTTGTCATGCACTAGCATCTTGCTCCAGCTCCTGCGATTTAACTTTAAGGATGTGAAGAAGAGAAGCAAGCTGCGCAACCAAGACAAAGCAAGTACGACTAAAAAAAAAAATCTGTAGATGCATCAATTATGCAGGTGTGTCGAAGACGCAGGCTTTCTTGGAAAACCGCCACATCGCGCACCACTGCCAAATGCGGGACCGATTCGGATCCAGGATCTTCGGCTAAGTCAAGTTCAAAAACGATGGGGAACAAGATAAAAGTTGAAGCTGGGGTGAAGAAAATGGCCACACTCAAAGAAGTCGCATCAGCACTAGAGAATAAAACAAAAAGTAGTGACGCGTGAAAGCAATGCCATAGTAACTGTTAGCGATCCTGCACGTGCTTCGTTTTAGCAGGTCTAAAATTATGTCATTCCGGTTTCGTTTCTAAGTGTACTTGTTCCTGCCGATCTACCACTACCTTGTATGATGGACCACGACGAAAAATTATCGGACTTCAATTAGCTCGGCTTGATGCCCGCAGAAGCGCTACCTTGAGGAGTAGGCGGATGGAAGGAAGTACTAGTTTAGAAGTTGTTCCGCGACTGATCGCAAATTGCCCTACGTCTCTTCAGAAGATTGAATTATAGTGCGCGGAAGACCACTTCTCCAGGCGCAGGGGTGGGCAGTCATTTTACGACTTCGGGATCATGATGATGATGATGATCCTGTTACTGGTCAGAATGTAGTTCTTGCTGAAAAAGACAGCAAGCCGGTGTTGAGGTCTTTTCAGGACCGCTTGTTATTTCCAACATGATCACACCGACATCGCGACTCAACGACAGGATCTTGATATCGTTCATCGTTCTATCGTCCACTTTGTAAGGTCACAACAAGGAGACGAGCTGCACAAGATCTTTCTCACGACCTTGATTTTTTTGCGATCCACGTTTGATTTAGAGACCGAACTGCAAATAACGCGGAGGATCCTACTGGAGGAGGAGTAGAAAGGATCCTACTTGTGTCTGGCGGAAAGGAAAATCGTACACTCACGGTAGAGCAGACCGGATCAAGACTGGGATCACGACACAATAGAAATTCGACATTGGCGAAGAAATGAAAAAATAAAACTCATGTTACAACCTCAATCCTTCTCCTGGCAAATGAAAATTTTCTGTTTCTGCAGGCCACGGCTTAGGGATGCAAATATGGAAGCACAACCTAGATGATGAAAAAACAAGTATGCAAGAGCTGTACTCTAATGCGTGATTTGATTTTGACTGGCACGCCACGTTGTCTACACGAATAAGCTAGCTTATTTGCAGCAACATTGAAGACAAGTATTTTTTTTCCACAATCATCAATCTTCTAAACCATGGCGACTTTCTGCCCGTCCTGTAGTTCCCTACTTCTGGTGGACAATCTGAAAAGCAAGCTCGTGTGCCAAACATGCCCGTACCAGTTTGTGTACCGAAAGAAGTACTTCTCAAAAACGGAGTTCGTCAACAAGCAAGTCTCCGACGTACTAGGTGGCCCCGAAGCGTGGAAAGACGTGGAAAAGATGTCGACACAGTGTCCGGTGTGCATGCACGGCTACGCCTACTTTCGACAAATGCAGACCCGGAGTGCGGATGAGCCGATGACGATATTCTACAAGTGCGAGAAGTGTGCGCACTGCTGGAAAGAGGACTGACACGGCAAGGATGAACGCAGTTGCTGCTGCGTAGTTGTTATCTGGCTTCATTTCTTTGAAAGCAGAAACTCCTGTAAATTGCTATTGCACGTGACCTCCTGCATGGGGACGGATGGGCATGAAGAAGCAACAAATTTTACTGGCGACCATAAATTGTTTTCGTTTCAGCATTGAAAGTAAAACGACTGACCACGACGCTTCACATACATATTTTGTACGCGCATGTATTTTCGACAGTAGTTGCCCTTTGATTCGGCACTACAACGCGAGCGTGGCACGATCTCGCAATGCAGAAGCTTTTCTGTATGATTTTGGTGCTGGTGTTCAATGTCGTCTGTCGATCAAACTCTGTGTTCCCGATCTTCTTCTTCCCCCCGGAGGTGTAGTTGTAACTGCCCTCGTTAATCAATTTGGACGAAAGAAAAAAATGAGCTCCTCGTTCTCATGAAGGCACGATTGACGACGCAAGATGCGGCAAGATCAGAAAATTTGTCAGAAGATCAGGAAATTGTGACCGAAAAATGAAAATCAAGAGAAGAAACAAGATCGAGAAAAGAAGTCAATGATCATCAACGTACGTCTACATAACGAGTGGAATCGTGAACCAAGGCTCATTCCACGACGATCTGACATCAACATAGGAAGACAAAAATCTGAAATCATGGTTTCCTGTCGTAAGTCAGGATCGCGATCAGCTGGCCCTGAAGATCTCTTACGCTGGCATCGGCGAAATCAGTGACGACGTTGTTTTTTGTTGACCAGTGTTGAAGAAGGTGAGTTTTTTTAAGTTCCGTGTTGCATCATAGTATCTACTATTTTTTATTCATCGAGTTGGAGTTCGAGTTTATTCGTAGATTTCTTGTAAAATCGCCGTTCGCTCAACCGTAGCGGCTTCTTCATTACTATACACGAAAAACATCTAGCTCTGCGTTTGCCCATCATGAAAAATAAGAAGTCGATGAAGATGAGCAAAGCCACCGCTTCGGTGGCGAAAACGGCGTCCGCAGCTGTCGTGGCAGGAGGAAAGAATGCGCCAGCTGCATCTTCATCGTCCAGCGACAACCGCTTCAACCTGCATGCGGCCCGGTTCAAGCAAGCTCCCCAGGATGTGAAGAAGGTAAAGGTGGACCAGAGATTTGCCAAGATGTTCACCGAAGAAAAGTTCAACGAGGGTGGGAGTGGTGGCAAAGCGGCCGTGGACAGCCGCGGACGGCCTTTGAAGAAGGAGGTCGTGAACGAAGTAAATGGAGGAGACCGGAAAAATAAGAAGTCCCGGGGGGTTTCTTCGTCTATTTCGCAGGGCGCCGGCAAGATGAAAATGAAGGAATCTTCAAATAAGCCGATCAACCGCCAGCTGCAGAAGTTCTACGCGCTCGAACGAGAAGACAAAGCCGAGAAAGTGTCTTCGGACGAAGAGGAGGAGGAGGAGGAGAATGTCGAGGATTCCGTTGAGGAGCTCAGTGAGGGCGGGAATGAAAATGATGCAGAAGAAATTGCAACAGATGATGAATCCGGATCAGAAGCCGGCTCTTCGGACACGGATTGGTCCGAGTTATCCACAGAAAAAAAAGCCATCCACATCCATTTTTTGCATGACAAACACAGAATTTTACGTATGTTTTGCATGACAAATTGGATGTGAATGGGTGTTTTTTCCTGGATACGAGTCAGAAGACAGCTACGACCCGGACGACACCATTTGGGAAACCACCGGCTACTACGACGGCAAGCAAATCGAGCGCACGGAGCACGACACTGGGAGCCGGCTGGCCTTCCAGACCCTGGATTGGGACACGGTGACCGCCGAGGACATTTTTCGGGTGGCAAAATCCTTCATCGCCAACAGTGGAAGTAGAAATGCTAGTACTGGACAGAGCGGTGCGAACACGCGCGTGGGAAAGAAGCTGCTGAATGCAGGAAAGAGTAGTAAGGGCGAGACAGATCATGCCGACGGCGAAAATAGTAACTTGACAAACAATGACAAAATCCTTTACTGTCGCATCTACCGGTCCGAAACGGGGGAGAAAGCGTTGGAATACGAGGCGCAGCACGGGCCCGCGATTCAGGAAATGAAGAAAAAAAGAAACACTAGTTCTAGTAGTGCCACGACAGGGAAAAATAAACAGGCCAAAGAAGGAGCAGGAGCTCCTGTTGAAGATTCCGACGACGAAGAAATGGAGAACGAAGATGATAAAGAAATAAATCCCGATATTAATGCTACAAACGACGACAACGACTCTTCATCCTCCGAGAACGAAGAGCAACAGGAGGAAATCCGGAAGTACAATATGAGAGTGCACAACTATTCCCTGTCCCCCTCATTTCTAATGCAAGATACCAAATCCACCCTTTGCCTCTCGGCACTTTTCGCATGACACCTTCTGGCAGGAGCCCAAATAGCACTACACTCCTGTCGTGCAAATTTGTCGTGCAAAACCTGCACTCTTGCTGACACTTGTATTGCCGTTCATGCTATTAAACAAATGAGGGGGCGGGGAAGTTGTAGTTGTGCGCTGTCATATACAACCTGCGCAAACTGCAGTACTTCTTCGCCGTGATCCAGCTGGACAGCAAGGAAACCTGCGGGAAACTGTACGAGGAGCTGGACGGGCACCAAATCGACTCTTTGTGCAACGGGCGGCCGTTGGACGTGCGGCAAGTCCCGGACGAGATGGGGGAAATCGACCGGCCCGTTGTGGACGAGTGCACCAGCAAGGCGTTTGAGGAAACGCTGCACAAAAGCTCCCACAACACCGCCCACCTGACCGAAAACCAGTCGCTCCGCGCGGGCTTGGCGCACACGAAGGCGCAGTGCAACTGGGACGAGCAGCCCGCGCGGCGGAAAAAAGACCTGATGAAGAAATTTTCGAAAAAGGAGATGGCGCTGAACGACTTGCAAACCTATCTCGCGGACAGCGATTCGGAGGAGGATGAAAACTACGAAGGTGGTCATCTTGATGAAGATGAACAGAACGAGCACGATAGTGCGGTCGGGATCTCTACTTCTTCTCGCGGCGAGAAAAACGGAAACGCCGGTGCTCAGAAGAAGAAGAAGCTCAGTAAGGAGGTCGAAGAGAAGCGGAAGCTGTTGCTGGGAGGTTTGTTGAAGAACGCGGAGGAGGAGGATGCTGCTGACAGTAGCCCAGAAAATGACTCTTCTGAAAACAACGGCTCAGAACTGGAGGAAGAGGAGGGTTCCTCCGAAATAGATCTTCCCGACACAGCAGCTGCTGACAAAATGATAAGTGCTGAAGAGGAAGATCTTCCAGTGCTGGAGGAGGAAGAGGAGGAAGAAGAAGATGACGACATCCCATCCGATTTCTCGGTCGCGGCCAGCGACGCAGAGAATGAATATCAACTGCAAAAATGTCTGGGTCTGGAAGGATCCAAGGTTTGTCATGCACATTTTGCATGACTCCTGATGTCCACTCAGAGTCATGCTTATTCCACTCAGAGTTTGCTGGGTAGGTGGCTACCGTTTTAAGTTTATAAACGAATGGGACGCCCTGCCCTTAGCCTTCCAACATGACTCCTGATGTCTGTGATGCTGCATGCCCTAGCATCACAGATTTTGCGAGGGCTTCCTGATGCCTATACCGCATGAAAAATGCTCTTTCTCTGTAGCAAGACTTGGTCTTGGACTCTCTTTGCTGCTCATGCAATACAGATTTTTTTAGAATCCAAATGCAGCATCACAAGTTCCAACTTTCCAGACCCAGACATTTTTGCAATCCATAATGAAACTATGGGCGCAATGGAGATGACGTTCAACACCGAAACCGAGGCGGTTGCGAAGAAAGTCCAGGAGAAGGTCGACGAGCAACTGAAGAAAAACGCGGGCGGGAAGAAAAATCTGCAGAATATGCAAAGTCTGAAGCTTGAACAGGCCTCCAAGCTGACCCCGTGGCAGAAGTTCCAGGAGAAAAAGAAGGAAAAACGGCGGGAAAAGAAGCTGGAGATCAAAGACAAGCGGGAGGAGATCAAAAAAGCCATGCAGGAGGAGCTGGAGCAACAGAGTATTACGGCTATGAAGGGCAAGACAAAAAAGAAGGGAAAGAAGAGAAAAAATGACGACGATTCGTCCGAAGAGGATTTTATTTCCGATGTTGATGCTACACAAGAAGCGCACTCAACTACCAAAAGCAGCACAGCGACCAAAGAGCTCGCTTCGGACGACCGGTTTGCAAAATTGTTCAACGACCCGGAATTCGGCATCGACCCCACTAGACCGGAATTCAATGACACGAAGACCATGCGCGCGGTGCTAGTGGAGAAACGGAAAGTTGCGGCAAAGAGCGGTAACCGTGGGAAAAAGAACGCGGCAAGCGGAGCTTCAGTCTCTACTACTTCCAGCAAGCCACAATCTGCAAACAACCCGAATGCAGCTGCTGCAACTCAGGAATCAACTCCGTCGTCATCTGGTGCCATAACTACAGCCAGCAAAAAGCGGCAGCGCGGCGAGGAAGCTGTTGGTGAGAAGGGAGGTGAAAAAAAGAACAAGTTTCAACTCTTCAGCAAGAAGCAAAAGCGAGGGTGAGCTGCGTACCGCAAGAAACTACAACGCGGGTTGCGTACATCATAGATGCACCACCAGAGTAGACGGACACTACTATTTACAAACAAAGTCTGCTCTGCACTGAATCAGAGATGAATGGCGCAAAAAAAATGAAGATGCGTACAGTTTTCATGCAACTTGACGAATTGATGCGAACGTGATTGCGTACGAGGATCAAGATCTGATCAATTGCCAGTATACGAGGCACCATAGATATTCGAATTGCAGTGGTGACGTAGTACGTGTTCACTCCGTATGCTTTTCATCTTACGAAGACAGATATACTACCGGCGTCGATGCCGTTAAAGCTAAAGTGTTTTTTGCCGCGGAATTCAATTTCGGGCTTGGGGGGCAACATAGCTTCTTTTTTATTCTGGATCGGCCTACTGTAGCTGTATACTAACTGAGAGTGACTTTGTCTTTTTCATGGAGTGAAGAGCGGACTGAAGGAGTATTGTGCATTCTTGCGGATCTTGGAATTGCTCCTTTACCTTTAGTACCACTTCCAACTGTGTCCGTTTCATGAGCTTGATGAAATAAGATAGAAAAGCACAACTTAGTAGACGACGAGACGCAGAACAAACCTGCCCTGCCACAGGCTGTACAGGTCTTTGGCAGGCGTTCTGCTTTTCACCAAAGATGTTAGACCCGTAAGGTTCGTCATTGCTGCTGCTGTTCTTGCCGGCTGGGAGATAAAGGCAGAATGCCGGCGGCGGGCGCAGCTTATTTTCCCGCCGCTGCCGCGCAGCGTTGCTCGGGCATAGGAACTCGCGGCTCGTTCACCGCAAGCACAATTTTGGTGCCGCGTTTCCTCATGCGAGCGCAGCTTTTGTTCGCTGCAGTTTCCCTGTTTTCCGGACCAGACCAAAGCAGCAACATTTTCTGCGCCACAAACGCACTGCGCATCGTCTCACGGAACAGGAATGTTGAGAGCGGCAACACCAGCAAAAGTAGCCAGCTGCTGCAGAGCACAGCACGTAGCATCAGGAAAACTGGAAGAAATAACGCGTCGAAAAGAAGCGGCCTAAGACGTCTACTCAAGCGAGGTAACAGTGGAACATCAGACAGCGTTCAAAAAACAATAACCGACGGGACAACTACCAAGAAAACGGACCGCAAAGTGCACTACCTTTTTCTCGTGTACAATCACATCAACAATGCCGAGAGCTGGCGACGGTATTTTCAGCCTCCCTCGTACGGTGCGCAGGATACCGCAACTGCAGGTGCGACTACAGCGACGATGTTACAGCAGGATCAAAGCGCCGCCACCTCCGACGCATCATCATCTGACTGGGCGGCCTATGTACACTGCAAAGACGGCTACACGTGCCAGATGCCCCCTTTTCCCGCAACTTTGATCGAGCCTGTGCCCTCCAGCTACTGCACCGACTATCACAAGAAAAAGTGTACACGTACACGGTTTGCATTTTTTCCCAAAAAAAATTTTTTGGCGCCCCCCTAGCGCGACGTAGTGGCACCACTTGAAGCCTTCGCCCCGGCGTTGGAGAGACTGTCGCTCTACAATGGTCTGAATTTACTATGGGCGCAAGCTTTCAGGGTCGCCGCCCAAGCCCGATGCATTTTGGTGGATGATATCCACGAGGCAGACCTGCAATCCTGGCACCAGATGGGGCCCCTTGCATCAGCGCAAAGCAGCTCCCCCTCCAATGCCCGACAGTGGCCCACCGCCATGAACACTCCATCCCCACCCGCCAGGCTGTGTTTGGGGTCGGAAACATTGATGGGGGCTGCGGATTATTGTTTGGGCGGGAGCCGAACTGCTTCAGATTTCTCGGCGGGTTCGTCTGGCTGTGTTGTGTCCCGAGATCTGGGAAAGTTTCCAAATTTCGGATGTCCGGAAAAACGCAAATTTTTGCATACCTCCAAGGCCAAATTTTTCAGATTGGCCAAAAACCGTGTACATGGAACCTAGCCACCACGCTATGGCCCATGTACACGGTTTCAAAAGTAGGAAATACGCAACAATTTTTAAAAAGGGCCCATAAAAACCGTGTACATCGCATCTAGACTGCATGGTATGGCCGATGTACACGGTTCAGAGTGTCTGTCTCCGGCCCCGACCACTTCGCAGACCGTGTACATCCATCATACCATGCAGTCTAGATGCGATGTACACGGTTTTTTGGTGGTGCGCGATTTCGCAGGCAAAATTCAGATAAATTTGCCTCTTTTTCTGCGGATTTTCTTGACCCCAAGAAAAACCGTGTACATCCTCTCCAGACTGCATGGCATGGTCCGTTTACCTCTTCAAAAGGAGGCCCTTCGCCTGTTTTGATGGTGGCGACGGTTTGTTGGGTGGTTTTGACCCTCGGCGCAAGGAGAACCTGGGCCACAGGCTGCAGGAGCCGCCGGCGGCCCACCTCCAGGCGCTAGAGTGACAACTCCCGGCCTTTTCGGCCTTCTTTGCGCGGCCCTGAGACGAGGCCAGGAGCATTGGGCAGATGACTCGGCTGCTTCTTTCCCCTCTCTGCTGGGTCTTGACTATGACCTTCGGGCCGTGTGCTCTAGGTTCGCCAGCCTTGCCACACTCCCAATCTAGCGAACTTCGTAGCGAGTGCTTTCACTGACACAAGTGAACGCCTCGAGGGAGCCCACAAAAATTTTTCTTCGAAAAACGGGAAAACCGTGTACGTGTACACTTTTTCTTGTGATACCGACCTCGTTTCGCCCATGATCGCGCTGTATCCACAGGAGATATTGATACATGTTAATGTTTTCCCGTACACGTGCAGATGCGGTTTCTACATGACAGAACTTTCTGCAATCCTGTGCTCAGCATGACAAGTGGCGTGCACGTAGTTGCCGAACTCTGTGATACATTTTGTACGTGTGATACGGGAAAAAATGTTGTACTGCATACGCTTTTGCGAAAAGCGCTGGAAAACAGCCACTCAACCGAGGACCAGTTTGTCTTCCAGTCCGACAGCACGCTGCCGGTCAAACCGAAGAAATTCGTGCACGAGACTTTGTTTCTGGACCCACAGTTGTCTGCGTTCTGCATGTTTCCCGTCTCCGCTTGGGCCAGAAGACCGATGCCGGATCCCAGTATGCGCGGGGAGATAGTGTACTGATTTGACGAGATGAATCCTGAATCTCCTAGGTTTGCTTGTTGTAGTGCAGCGCACACTTCTAGCAGAGGCGGCACCGAGCCGGAAGAAAAATGAACTGCAAATGCCAAATAGAAGCAATTAACACCAGACGAATCAATCAGAGTTATTTTCTCATCATTTTTATTTTACTTATACTTTCTTATGCATAAATTGTCTTGCTTTGTTTGCGAGGGGGCATCAAAAAGTCGTGATTATTTTGTCAAAGCTGTCTTTGCATATGCAGTGCGGGGTACGAAGTGGCTGCGAAGCATCACCAGTGGGTCACTCTGTCGCACGCCGCCGCGACCAAACTCGTGGCGAACTATAACATCAACGTACAGAAGCTGTTTTCTACTATAGCAGTACTGCATCCTCGCGATAAAGATAGGGATCATAGCGATGATCTTTGTGTTGTTTTTTGATGTTGAAAACGAACCCCCCGAGCTCGAGGAAGTTACAGATTATTTTCATTTAGGACAGATTACGGCACTGCTGCTGTAAGTATGAGAAATAATTTCGCGAAACCTTAAATAAAAGGCTATCACGTATCAAAGTCTGCTTTCGTCCTTTGGCTTAGTGGGCTGGGCTACGCAAAGTGAGCTGCTTTTTAGTTATATATTTTCAGCCGCGTGCTTTACGAGTTCTTTCTCTTTAGCTCCTTAATACGAACGAGTCTTGTACTACATACAGCTTTCGCGTCTGACGCTAGTAGCTGTGCCTCCTTCAACATCATTTCATTCGGAAGTACACAAACAACTCGTAAGCGCGTAGCTAAATCTTCAATTTTCGCTTCCATACGCATTTGCCTCGACGAATATTACATGTGGAGCGCCCTGGTGCTATCGAGTGCGATAGTTTTGGTGGAGACATCAGATGAAAGGTTGCAATTTGTCAAGCATAAGAGCTCGCTTCTCTACTTGCATGCATGCAGTTATCAGCCGAAAAGATACGACTTGGTCTTGGAGGATGTGGCACCACGCTCGGAATGTTGACATCAATGACACATGGCAGCCTCCTCTGTGCTCAACATTTATTTTCCTTCCATTTCCCAACACGCTGCAAAACATTCCCGCGGCGGCCTTCCAGCAGCGCACATTGCTCGACAAATTCAACTATGGATTGCAAAAGTATCGTACTCGTATAAATGCATTACAAATTTCCTCAGCATGAGAAATAAGATTTGTAATGCTGATCTGCCTTAAGAACAAGATTTGCAATGCATGATTGCAATACGAGTACGATACTTTTGCACAGGATATCAACGAGAAAGCGGTGCGCGAAAACCTGCTACCGGCGTCTACGGTGGCGCCGATATGCATTGCAAAAGTATCGTACTAGTATAAATTGCATCACAAATTTTTTCAAGAAAAAAAATGGAATTTGTAATGCTGATTTACCTATAAAAGGGATATTTGTCATGCACGATAGCAATTGCTACGAGTGCGATACTTTTGCACAGGATAGCCGAGCGGTGCCGGCAATGGGTTGCTAGAAGTAGAAGAAACTACTACTCGAGAACAGACGACCAGTACCGGCGCCGAGCGTCTTGTTGGTATTTGTTCATGCCGTTCAGGTCGCCTGTTCGCCCGAATTATGTGCCAACCGACTGCTCCACTCAAAGCCGCCCTGAATGCTAAGAGAAGAAAGCGTCGTCCACATCAGCGACTGCCCGACTTTTCCACCACGATGAGCTAGCGCCGCCGGTCTTAGCTTGCCCGGAGGACGCTTTGTTCCTTTTGTGTTGCAGCAAAAGTTGCCGTAGCAAGCCCCCACCCACTCCACTAAGCAAGTCTATATCAATGGATGATCTTCGATGTGAACTGTGCGACTTGGAGGTCGTCTCTACTTCATCTAAATCCAAGCATTACACGGAGAATAGAAGGTGGACTGCGACTTTTTCGACGTGATAGCCTTCCTCTCATCTCTGGATATTCTATTGGGGGCTGCATCTTGTTCGTATCATCTGCATCTTCGGCAAGATTGAGCATAGGAGGTCACCGAGCTGCAGTGTTGATTCTTGATTCAGGGCCCTTAACAAGTAGATGTGCCTCCCTTCTTGATATTCACAGGGTCTGCAAGACATGATGTATGCGTTCCACATGAACCATTGGGCCTTCCCATCCAACACCGGTTGCCTCGACGAATATTACGTCTTCCAGTCCGTCGTGGGTGTTGTCCGGGGGGTATGACAGTGCACAACTCCCCCTCCCCCTCATTTGTGTAGCACGAACGGCGATACAAGCATCAGCAAGGGTGCCGTGCACTGGAATATAGTTCTGTTTGGGCTACCAGAACCTGTCATGCACACAGTAGCAAGAGGCAAAGGGTGGATTGGGTTTTTTGCATGACAAATGAGGGGGAGGGGGAGTTGTGCACTTTCATAGGGGGTGACCGACTTTCAACTCTTAGCATTCGACAAGGCCTTTGACTTGAGCAAATACGTCGGTAATTTGTATTCATCTGCACCATTCGAGGATATTGACTTCATACACTAAATTAATAAAATTTGTGCTGCGGAATTCGCTTTTAAGATAGAAGTTGCTTTCACGAAGTCCGCGGAAGTCTCTTCATGGTCGTGATTTATGATAGGATTCTCGCACTACAACCATGCAAAACGACTACATCAGATCGCTGCTACACACTCGCCTGCTGGAACGTGCCGAGCAACCCGGTCATACCCTACGTGCAACAACAGTTACAAAATCGCGGATTGTATCCTGTGGTGCAAAAGTTGTTGCATCTTCGCACTACGGCAAATTTGATACAACCTGCAAGAGCGCATGAGAGATCCCTTCTCCAGAGCAATTTCCGCATGAGAATAAATTTTATGTACGCATCATCAAATTGGGCGACGAGAGGTTTGCATAGCTATGCAGTAGCAGTTGTTTATTCGACGTCTACGCAACCTTCCCTTTCCACCCAGTTGTTCCTCGAGAGAAAAAGAAAACTTTTGCACTGCATCCCCTAATCCGGTATGACAGCGTGACGCGACCGGGAACGCTGACCCATTTTACCACAGGCGCCTTGAAGGAGCTACGGAAGTCTTCGTTCTTGTTTCTGCGCAAAGTGTATCAAATGCAAAAATGTCTCGGTCTGGAAAAATGTTGCCAGGTTTGTCATGCATATTTTGCATGACTCCTGACGTCTGTGATGGATGCCCTAGCATCACAGATTTTGTGAGGGCTTTCTGATGCCTATGCCGCATGAGAAATGCCCTCTCGTCGCCGGGGCAAAAACTGGACCGCTGTTGCTGTTCATGCAATACAGATTTTTATAGCATCCAAATCCAGCATCACAAGTTCGCATCCTTCCAGACCCAGACAATTTTGCAGTTGATAAAGTTCCGGACTCTCCGAAAATCTTGGATTCCTGCGAGTCCTTTGAGCAGGGGGTCAGCAGAATTCTGTTTGCCGATCTGGTCGTATTACACCAAAAAGTTCTATAACGTTACCTCCGGAATGTGGCATGCAGTGACACATGTTGAGAGAAATCGTGCCCAAATTTGTATTGCGTAGCATGATGCATGATAGAGAAAATTTGTCATGCATGACTGCAATGCCTCAAAACAAAACCAAAAGCGCTAGCGTTAGCACTTTTTGGCTTGACAGGTCGAGCCCGGGTTGGAAAACAAGGAGACCGACGACATCTATCCTGTGCAAAAGTATCGTACTCGTATTGCAATCATGCATTACAAATTTTTTTCTCCAGGTAAATCCGCATATACAAATTTTATTTCTCACGCTAAGGGAATTTGTCATGCATTTATACTAGTACGATACTTTTGCAATGCATAGCATCGCCTTTTTGACGACGATATGAAAGAAGAAAAACTGTGGAAGTGTAAGTCTACAATGCAAAGCATGCAACGCAGATACACTTGTCAGGCCAGCGCCAGCCCTAGCCGTGCATGACAGGATGAGGATTTCTCTGCCAACATGCAGAACAAATTTGTGATGCTGTTACCCCAAGTAAAGAACACGACCTACGCTAACACAGTTTTTTTTCTTTGATGCACGAAGTACCAAGACCAGTACGTGGGTACCTGGGTTTATGGAAGCGTCAGGATTGAAATCCTCAAAGTTGAAATAATTTCTCATGCAGAAATTGCAAGGCATGAAGTGCCTCTCTTGCAGGGATTGCAAATGAGGCCGATTTTTGTGAGCCTGTTTCGGGTTTGGAATAGAGCTGCTAAAGTAGCATGACAAAAGACGCCTTCTTTCCCTAAACAGCATTACAAACTGGATTCCGGCGATGCCGAAATTTGTCATGCACTGCTTGGAAATTGGGCTTCCAACTGGTATCGATTTTATGCATCGCAAGTTATTTCAACTTTGACGATTTCAATCCTGACACTTCCATAGGGTTGACGTCGCGCACTCGGACACCCGGATCACGTCGAAAAAGTCCGCTGCGGCAGCTATCAAAAGGAAAAATCCCCCCTCCCCATATCGAAAACGAAATGCGTGATGCTGTATTTGAGTACACAAATCGACTTGTAATGCTAGAAGGCCAAGAGACGCAGCTGTGGCCTCGTCTACAGGCAATCTGTCATGCTGTTTCCCACTTCCAGCTGCCCCCTGTAATGCTGAAGATGCAAGGCTTTCCTACGCCAACCAGCACTACAGTCCGCATCTTTTTCCTTCTAGCATGACAAAGCTGATTTGTGACCACAAATCTGCATCGCAAGTTTCTATTTTGAGTATGGGGTGGGGGGATTTTTCACTTTGATAGCAGCGCTCGGCCTCGGAGAAAGCGAGAAGAACCGACAGATCGCGCTGCAAGCGAAATCCGTGTCCAAAAACGAAGACATTTGGCAGGGGTATGGAGTGATTTGCGGAAGTCACGTCTCCCTGCAGTTCCACGACCAGGTTTTGGATATGACATCTGAAAAATAAATCACCGTCTTCATCATGATGACAAAGATGCGCAATTAGATGCATAAGCATATAGAACTTTGTAAAAAATGAAAAAGGAGCATGCGGGAGATTGAAAATAGCTGGAGCTGCAAACTCAACATAATTGTGCAGGGGAAGGAGCTCATAATTTCGTGAGATGATAGACACGGATACCCTTATTGCTCGTGTCGTGCTACTACTAGTACTAGTACTCTAGTCGCTCCAGAAGTCGGTGGCTTTACCTAGCATATTGCAGGGCGAATTGAGCACGAGTCAAACGGGAGCGAGCGGCGGTCTTGAAGCGACCATTTTCTGGGCAAACGGGGCGCAGTGGAAGAAGGAGCTCATCCCGGCAGGCGTAGCAGAACAAGCTGCATCGAGCGACTCAGCAGCAGGCGAAAGTAGCAGTGATAAAGACGAAAATTCTAGTAATGAGATGGCTCCAACCTTGCCAGAGACGGAGCGAGAAGAGGAACCGCAGCAAGGTGATGACACAAAACAGAAAAGTTCCGACGAAAGAACAAGCGTCGCTGCACCGGCCACTGCTAAAAATGCAAAAGACAGCAGCACAACATCGACAACATCCTCAGCATATGAACTGCAAAAGTATCGTACTCGTGTAAATGCAGTGCAAATTTCCTCAGCATGAGAAATAAAATTTGTAATGCGGATCATTCACCTCAGCAAAAGGATTTGTAATGCATGATTGCAATACGAGTGCGATACTTTTGCACAGGATACAGCAGATGAAGGCTCGCCGGCGAAGAGTCATGTGTTGTCCGAGGTGGTTATCCAGGAAAAAACACCAATCCCCATCCATTTTTTGCATGACAAACAGTGGAAGTTATGCATGTTTTGCATGACAAATATATACATTGGATGGGGGTGCTGGGTGTTTCTTCCTGGATAGAGGTGCAAAACAAAGGAGCTACGACGACCACGCCTGTGCAGCCCTCCGGCGCGGAAACGTGGACGAGGACCACAGGTAACGCAGCTCCCGCCGGTGGAGGTCATGCAGCGCCTACTTCAGGCGATCCCGGCCCCGAGGCCTCGGCGTCGGTTCAGCAGCTTCCGGGGGCCCTGCCGATGCAGGTTCTGTTCAATACGACGGTGATTGCGGACGTGGACCACGGGAAAAATAGAAGTAGTGGGATGATGAAAACTGGAAAAAATGCGGAAAAAGGACAAAGAATTATTTCTCGCAAAGTAGAAGACACTTCTTTATCAAGGGTCATCGTGGAGAAAAGTAGACCTGCAAGAGCTCCTAGTACAACTCCGGGTGTTATTCCCATCGCAACTCCAGTGGGAGGTGGAACAGGAGGACGGACAAGGAACGGTGCGACGAAAATTGTGACGGAACAAATCCAGGGCCAGCAACGTCGTGGTCGTACTGACAACGACAACGTCGGAACATCAACGTCGAGGAGTACAAGTACAACTGAAGCTAGTACAGCATCCGACAAAGAAGTTCTCTCTGGCAACAACTACCAAGAGCAGCACGACCACCAGGACTTTTTTTCCTACAATCTCCCGGCAACTTCGCCACTCGCCGTGAAAAGTCCGTTTTTCAAGATTGAGGCGAGCGGAACGGCGGAGCTCGTCACGCATCACAGCGAAGGCGGCCGTCGAGGTGGACAATCTCCGGCGGGGACGCTGGTGAGCACCGCCGGAGGCTTCGGGCTCAACGCACATGATTTGAAGTAGGGCTTGCTTTGAGATGAATGAGGACGAGGTGGAGCGAAAATAACTAGCTCATTTTCTTTTCCAAATAAAATTTCAGCTTAATACAAGGGACGTGAAAGTAAGGGCACGGTGAAGCTGATAGCCTTGTTTCTTGTGTATGATTTATCAAAATCGAAACTTTATGGCACGCCGAAGGTAACGAGTGATATTTTTTCTGGCAATGAGGATCACGCAGCACGGTGTCAAATGAACAGGGCATAGGACGACCAGATCTTCTTTGTTCGATGACATTCGTGAAACAGTATTTTTGCTTTTCCCACGAGTCTATGTCTAGTTCACCAGAAGAGAGAGATGCTCTGGCAGTTGCCGCTACGAGCGCGAGTCCACAGCGCATTCTTTATCTACTTTTGTTTGATGAACGTATAAATATAAGTACATTGGATTGACACATGAGACAAGTGTTCTGACGTGATTGATAAAAGATCTTCATACATGATCGTCATGTAGTACCTCTTCCTCGACCCTCGATCGCTTGCTGCGTGTCATTAGTACAAGATGCTCGGTCGCTCCTTGCGGGCTCCGCCTGCACCCGGCGTTTCAATCGTCGTTGCTCTGCTTTTCGTCGCGCGCTGCGCTTTTTCTCTGGAACTAGGCGTCGATACACGGACTGTAGATCGCTCCTCGTCCTCCTGGAAGAGCTTTTTCAAGTTCTCAAAAAGAACGACGTCACAAGATAAATCTGCGAGGACAGCGACCTTCTACGTAATATCCGGCGGCGCAAATAAACCTTCCTTGTCCACCCCGATCGTGTGTCCGCAAGCCAACCAGCACCTACTGGAAGACGACTCGACCAAGTATTGCAGCGCCATGCTGCAGGAGTGCCAGTGCCGGGAGGAGCAGCTGAAGAGCGTCAAGGCAGAGAAGTGCGCGGCGTTTGTGCGGGACCTGTCTCTGGTGACCAAGGAGTCCGGGACCTGTCTGGCCAAGATCCAGCTGGCCACGGAGAAAAAGCATCACTGCTTACAGCAAAACGAAAAAGCGGCCACGGTGATGCGCAAGGAAAAAGTCAAAGACATCCTGCGGTCGGCGACAAACAAGTCGTCGCGAGGTGCAGGAGCCACGACAGCCCTGATACTGGCCAGTGCAAGTAAAAATGTGGACGAGACAGACGCGACCGAGTTCAAAGATGTGTGTGACAGTGTCGACTACGAGCAGATGTGCGGAAAAGAGCGGCACGACGCCCTCTGCTTACACAACCACTGCGGAAGGCGGATCACCAGCCTGAACTCCGAACTAAAACGAATCGACAATGTATCCTGAGGAATGAAAATTATGCCATAATCGACTCCAATTTGTCTTGCATGGTTTACACATACGCATGAAAATTTAAACTGCATTTCAATTTCTACTTTTCTTGTTGCGCGCTCGCGCATTACTTTACAAATACAAGTGGAGGGATGAAGTGAAGAAGAAGATGGCAATTGTTTCTTGGATGCAATGCGTTGGAGCTGTACGGGATTATTTCGGACTCCTTGGTATCAGAAGAAAATGTATTAACCAACGTTCACGGAATTTGTAATGCAAGAACCCATCGCATGCAGAAAGAGCAAGAAATCTGCATTGCAAAGACTGCGTGCGAAGCAAAATCTGTCATGCCTGATTTTTGCAGTTTCTGAAATAAACCGCTTGCGTTAATAACACTTTTCTGCTTGATACTCGGTGAAGCGGTTTCACCACCCGATCTGTCCAGACGAGTGAGATCGGAATCAGACCATGAACAAAAGGAAATCCGAATAAAATATTTCCAAACTATGTACTTAAATCAGGACCACGACCACAGCAGGCAGCAGAAAAGAGCAGGTTTAATATTGCTGATCATGCAATTTAATTGATACTAGCGCGGCTTTACGATTATGAGGACCGAAATCGATTGCAGTTCCTAAGTTTCTGTTTCAGTAGTTTTTCGTCCCACTCCTGTAGATCTTCTAGGTGCTGTACTTTTTTCCTTTACAAATATAGCCGTACTAGACGCAACTTCGGCGTGTAGAGAACGAGTCATACCTTCGACAAAGAGTCGACCTTCTCTGCAAAACCCTCGTCTCTGTTCTGCTGGAAGTTGCGAGTCACTGTGGCCTGTTGGCACGAGATCATCATCGGTAATCTCCTTTTTGATCTTCGCAAAATCGACACGTCTGATGTTTCTCGATCTTCGGAAATCTCGCCGCCTATGCTGCAGAAGAAACGATGTCGGTCATAGTCATGGTATTTTTTTTCGCTGAATAACGGACGCAGCTGAAATTCAGAAGATGCAGATGGATCTTCAGGAAAGGGTGAAAGTACAAGTAAAAGTTCCATCGGTCTAATTGCATATTGAGCTGCTGGCATCAAAGCCGAAACGTCTTCACAAGAATGGATCTACAGCGCATCTGTGTGTTTCGATTTTAAACGAGAGGAGATCGAACGGAGGTAGTCATCGGTTTTGAAGCAAGATCATCATCATTCAGAAAATGTTTGTTGTTATAGAGACCCGAAGGCTATGTAAATCACCATCAAAGCGACTTGCGCTTGTAGTTGTGGCGCGACGTCTCTTAGTCTACATAAAGAAGTGCAATTCCATGCTAGTGAATCAAACAGGAACCCACCCTGCTCTTTCCACGCCCACTTGCTAGCAGTACAGAACAACTTTTAAGTACGTGTCTTGAATTATCGCAGCTGTATATTTTTATTATTCGAATAAATTCGAATCATTTATCTTTTCAACACCAACAGCACCAACTTTTTACCTTTTCCCAAGGTTCGTGTAGGTGTAGCCATCCTCCAGCAAAAAATCTTTTCTATAGGGTCCAAGCCACAAGTAGTTGTTTGCTTTGCTTGTCTTTTTATTGAAGTAGCGCTAGCCGCGTGAGGAGAAACAGAAAGCAAAAAAACTTTCAAAAACTTTCAAGAGGTTCCACGTGAGTGACCATCCAAAACAAGCAAACAACTATCGCAGTAGCCCAAGTTTAGCACAAATCACGGCCACGTACATTGCGATACGCAACAAGTTCTCAGCCTCAGCTTCGGTATAGAAAACAAAGCAAAAACAACAAAACCATCTTCTTACACACGTTGGACCTAGCTTCCATTTAGTTGCTGTTTATATTCCTGAAAAAAATGATGTCGCCCGTTTCTACTTTGACTCCACCAGACAGCAGGAGGAACAAGAGTTCCTCGATCTCGATCTTTTTCTTCATCCGCGTGTGTGTTTGTCTCTCCTCCTGCTTCTCGACAATCTTGTGTCATGCGACGCGGAGTCGAAGTGCGGCGCTCAAGGAACTGAACATGCCAGCGTGGAACAAGTTTGCCCAAGAGAGCGATCCTGGGCTCCAAGCAAGAATTTTTTCGGATGCGGGCCTCGGACGTGGCGGATTCTTGCAGAGCAACGCGCTGCGGAAAGCGAAGGAATAGATACTTCGCTGCCAACCATGCGGAGAGATTCCCAGCCATGGAAACGGGCATCGCTGCGGCGTTGGGCCGACTGTCAGACACGAGCCCGGTGGCTTCTTTCAGAGATGGGACGCTGTTTTCTGAGCCGGGCCAGGTTGATAGTGCCAAAGAATTCGCGGGCTTCGTTTGGGATACGCTTGTACGTCAGAACGGACGCTTTCGGAGGCTCTTGCTCGACCTGGGTCCGCGCCACACGCAGGCTCCACAAACCGGAAATGAAGAGTCCGTACTCGCAGATTTCGAAGAGCTCACTGCGGACAAACTAGACTCAAATAGCATGCTTCTGGGGGTGGAGTTGGAGAAACGTCTCGTGGGTCGGCCTGGCGAAAGACTTCCGCTGCCGTTCGATTTTTTTTCTGCCAAGGGCACGGACCGTTTCGTTGCTGACCGACTTGTTTCTTACCCGCCCACCTGTATGCACGGGATTTCGTTGTAACTTGTTGGTTTTCACCTCGAGTGGTTGCAAGAGTTCGAGCAGATGAGTGGCTACATTGTCTCTCCAGTTTCCTGTGTCATGATATTTTGTATTGCTATTATTTCGCGAGACCGGCGAGGACGCTTGTGCAGCTTCTGGCGCTGTGTATTGAGTACAAGAAAGAAACCCGGTCGACCAAATCCATGGCGGGCTCTCTGAACCTTCAGAGCCAGAGGATGTCCTCTCTGCAGCGTGTTCAGAAGGTTTTTGATCCAAAAAACCTTTTGAAGGTTTGGCAGGTGGTGCTCACTTTTTGACCTTCTTAAAGTTTTGAACCTTCTGAAGGTCGGACTTTCAAAACCTTCTGAAGATTGAAAATCAAAAATGACACTTTTGATCAAAAAAGAAGGTCCTCTGAAGATTGCGATTTCTGATCAAACCTTCTGAAGGTTGCTTCCGATCAAACCTTCTGAAGGTCTTCTGAAGGTTGCGACTGCCAAATATTGCTACTTTTGTAGCAGAGGCAGTGCCTCCATCAAATATTGCATTTTTGAAGGCCTTTACAACAGGTCAAGAAACCTTCTAAAGGTCTTCTGAAGGTTGCGCCAAGCCACGACGTACCAGCATGGCCAAAAGAGGCCACCTTTTGGCTGCTTCTGGCCAATTCCGGACAAACGAAAAATAGCCACTTCTGTGACGAAAAAGCCGCTTTCTTGAATTCTAGGTCTAAAATAAAGCCAGAAGCTGTTCGTTTTTGGACAGCAAAAGCCGGACTTTTGGCTTTTGTTTTTAGCCGGTCTGTTGGCTTTTTGTTTTTCTGTTTTTAGCTCCTCCGAGAGCAGCCAAAGGCAACAACCTCACTAGGGAGAAATAAAAGCCGAGCTTGGAGATTCTACCTTTAGGTCAAGTGGACAGCTTGACTCTGATCTTCACGTCTCACTTAAGACCTCCTCTGAAGAGTATTCGCATTTACCCCCACGCGGCGCGCGCCGCGTGGATTGGTTCAAGCAAACCCTGTCGACCAAGTCCTAAGTACAAGAAACAAACCCTGTCGACCAAGTCCATGGCGGGCTCTCGCCACCTTTTCTTTCCGTTGTTTAAGTTAGTACTTAAGTGCGGCATTTGCTAGATGTGGTGATGAAGCCACGCAAAGCCTTTTTTTTTTGGAATGCGACCATCAGCTGCAGCACCACTTCGCAAGAAAATCAACAAAGACTTCCTCTGCATAGAATGGAACATTCTCAAGCTCACGATGAGCAGTGTGCAGACAGTACCGTGGCTCCGCAGTAGTGTCCCTAGACTGCCGAGAGTTTCGCTTAAGTTTCTGTTGCTGCACAATTCCGAGGATCGGAGTCTGTGTGTGCTTAGCACGGAAATCACTGTCCTCCATCGTTTCCCTGACTATGAGATTGCACAACTCCCGCCCCCACTCATTTGTATTGCATGGACCGCAAGACAAGCTGCTTGTCTTGCTGTTCATGCAGCGGAGTTGGTATTGCTATTGCTTAGCAATAGCAATACCAACTCCGCTGCAGCTGCAGCAGCTTGATTTGCATATCAGATTATACACATATAGAGTGTCTCATCCATATGTCGTGGGGCCGCGATCATGTGCTCTTTTTAGTTTCCTTCGGGCTCCCGAAACTTGTCATGCGAACGTTGTCAAATGACAAACGGAAACGGCACTATTTTTTGCGCTTGGCATGACAAATGAGGTGACGAGGGGAGAGTTGTGCACCCTCATATGGGGCAGGGCAACTACACTTCGTGGAGGCACTACACAGGTCGATTGAATTTGGCAGCAAAAGTCGATATCATGGGAAAAAATCCCCACTCGCCAGGTTGAAAATCCACAAAAAACGAGATTTGTGATGCTTATTCGTGTAAGTGTATGCAAAGTCTCTTGCATATTGGGCAAGCAAGAGCGACACGAAGCAGTGGCGGTGCACAACCAATCTGTATATGCGTCTTAACCTAGTACAGCACTAGCACTAGAACTAGAAGCGTCTATCATGCTGAAGGGCAAGGGCTGCTGGCGTTCTAGAAGCCTGAGCAGCCCTAGAAAATAAAACGCGCCTTCAGTGGTCCCTTGATGGAAGAGAGAGCTGAGGACTTGAACTTGTGTACTTAAATAAACATACAAACGGTCGCACGTCACAAATCCTCTTTTGAGTATGGGGAGGGGGAATTTTGTCTTGCAATAGTCGATGTGACAGACTCCTATGCGGGCGAGGTTTTCCAGCGCGGGAGGATCGAATTTGAGGACAAAAGTTTTTCCTTCTTGAGCTCACCCGACATAAGCTTCACTCCGCCAAGCTTCACTCCGCCAAGCTTCACTCCGCCAATCCGGGACATAAGCTTCACTCCGCCAACGAGACCGAGCGTACTAGATCCGCGGAGACGATATGATTATTGAAATCTGCCCGGCGTTCAGCCTTAGACAGTCCTTATATCGAGGACTGCCGTTCGCGTTTTTTTTCTGCCCTTGAATCTCATTAGGTGCCGGATTGAGATTTGCTCACTTTCAAAAGACGCTGCGGGGACGAGATAACGGAGACGCTAAGGCGGAGACGGGACAACGCAGAATTTAGCGAGTGAGCGAAATCGAAAAAATTCTAAGTCACACTAACTGCTTTGCAAGGCACTTCGTCTTCTTTCTGTATGATTCATGACAAATTTTATAAATATTCCAAGATTTTTTTCCAAAAGTAGTTGAAAGTAGTACTCCTATGTGCACGAGATGCAATTCCAGGAACCACTGCAAAATTATTGGCTGCACGGCTACATATTCATATTGAAACTTATGATCTTGTTTGATTACGGAGCCCGCAGGATCAGGATCAATGCGAATGCTAATGTTCAATGCTTACGAAGATATAGTGGTGGCTACAATGGTAATGGTTACGGAGGGTGCGAGACAGGATACAACACCCCAGCATTCACGACCATGTCGGGCTGCGCCGCGCCGCACACTACTGCAAAGGGTCGGCCACAAATCAGTTGAGGCGTATGACTTTTAGAAGGAAGCTCGAAAAAGAAGGAGCTTTTACCTACAACCAGGCAAAACGGGGGCGTTCGCTTTGGTGTTGAGCATCGAGAGTAGTTTGAAAGAATGAAGTGCCGTGTGTAGTTTATTCACGTGAGTAAGTACTCCTGCAGGCTGCAGCTCATAGTGAAATTACTCGATCGCTTGCAACACTAAATAATGTTGACCGTATCTTTAAGAAAAAGAAGAAGAAGCAGAGGAGCGAGTACCTCCTTTAGAAGTAGTATTGTTGTACAGCAACCTCATCTTATTTGTTTCTATTTGATGGAACTATGTAGCATCGACAACGTCCTCCCCAATTCATTTATTGCACACACAGCACCACCAGAGCACCATAGCACGATACCGAGATCGACAAAGGTACTCTAGACTCCAGATTGGAGAACTAGCCCGCAGCCGCCCGTCGGTAGAAATCATTTTTCTGTAGTGTCGTGTTTGTGCTCCTCAGATCGGAATTACAAGCAGCAGCATCTTCCTTCACGAGAAGGCAGAATGCACGATGCAGGCAGTCGCAAGCCCGCAGCTGGCGGCCGACAGCATCGAAAAACCGTGGGATAAATCAATTTCTTTTGCGACGCTCCCCGGAGCGATTCAAATGAAACCACACGCTAACGCTGCCATCATGAAAATTCAAAAATAAGTGAGCAGTGCACTATCGGTCTCAGACTCGTGCCTGCGTAATTTGACAAGCGAAAAGTGTTCGTCGTCGGCCTCGGCTATCGAAGTAGAGCACGAAGAATGAAGATCAACGAATTTATTTTTACAAATGAACAGCATCGTCTTCCTCGAAGATAGAAGCTGTGGGAATACGAATAAGTATGATGTATTTCCCCGAAGATCATAACTTTGAGTACGTGCGATAGAAGCTAGACAGGCGGGTACGTACTTGTACTACACCGAGCACCTCCTGGAGTTCTTGAGCAGGAGCCCCCTTATATCTGTATGTACAACTGGAGCGACGACGAGAGGTGGGGAAAACGAGGGCACCTCCAAAATGATCTCGCAGCTCAGCAGGAGCGCGACGAGCCTGCTCCTGAACGACGAGAGTTATATAGATACTTACAGAACGCAAGCATTCATCTCTTCTCTCAAGTGTGGTGCGTCAACACCTTCGTCACCGCATCTCCGATGTGGAGTGGTCGCGACACAACCTCGCAAATAAGCCCAACCGGGTGTTGTACTAGCGTCTTGCCGTGTACTAGTCTGAAGAAAACTGCTGGTACGGATCTTTAAAGTCCACACCTGCTGCCCTCCCGCCATTCTGTGGATAGTACAGCTAAAAAACGCTACGACTATCATGAGAGTCCCGCCAGGCACGTGGGCCCTGCTTGGGGTGCACCTCCTGGGTCAGACGGCGCTCTCCCAGCTGGAGCGTTCCTTGTTTGTGCCCTTTTTGCGCAGCTTGGTCGTGTGTGACACGACAACTACGAGAAACTCGGAGTCGTCGCTCTTTTCGCCAACGCCGGTTTTTGATACGGGCGCCTCCAGCTCGAAAATAACCACAACTGCGTCTCCACCATCTCTGCTCCAGCTGCCGCAGGAGCGCGAGGCAGGTATGAGTCCTCGTGGTCGTGCAGGTGATGTTTCGGATGAACTACCGCAGAGCAGTGATGCTGCGAACGAAGGAACTTCAGGAGCTACTTCCGCTGCCCTTGCGAAGGAGGAGGAGGAGCAGACCAATGGCAATAATGCGGTGGAACGAAAAGACGCGAAGATGGAAATCGGTCAAGTGGCACTAGGTGGACAAGATCAAGAGCAACACACAGGAGACGTCGCGAAGTGGTTCTCGTCCACGCAATTCCTGCATCCCCGGGACCGAACCAATGAGAAGGAGGCCCACGACCGGCGAAAAAATGATGTTAAGGACATCTTCTTCACAACCGGCGCCGTTAAAGGAATCGGTCCAGCACAAGATGGAGCGCCGCCCAAACGAGAAGATCTTCTACAAAGCGCATCTTCAGCCACCTCTCTGCAGGACGAAGAGAAGTTGTTCGTTGTCGAGGGCGAGCGGGGCGCCAGCAGTAGTTCTTACTTGTTCAGCAGTACCACCGCGCAAAGCACGACCACGGGCAGCAAGACCAGCACATCAAAAGCCTCAGAAGTGGAACCTCCTGCCGCAAGAAATCCTACAGGCGCAGAAACTGCAACAGCGTCCGCTGCTCCCCCCAACATGCAGTACCAGCGTGCCTCGTTTTACTGTGACGACCACGACCAGGTTGTGGAGCAGGCGCAACAGCGCGGGGGCCGGTTGGACTGTGTGCGGATCCTGGCACACGCATTTAGCCTGCCCGTGTTCGGTTGCTTGGGGGACATGTACGGTCGCAAATACATCACGCACTACGCGTGTTTGGGGCTGATCCTCTACTTCTTCTTGCTTTCGATCGTCGCCTTCGGCTTCCAACACGATAAGGCAGCAGGATCTCTGGGACGAACATCAAGCGCGTTGTTTCCCATGCCAGATCCCGACGTCGGAAGTCTTGCTCAACAAGAAGGGCATCGACATAGTTGGACCACTTCTTCGCCGTTTTCTAGCGGAAAAATTGGTAGTCCCGAAGATTCCGCAGCAGGAGGGACGACGATGCTGCAGCAAAGTAACTTCGTCGTTCCCCAACAAGAAGTACTAGTAGAGCAGCAAAAGCTGGAAGACATTGACGCAGCCACCGTGGAGAGTCACATCATCTTCCCACTGCCGCCGTTCGCGAGCAGGCTGCTCACCGGATTCTTCGAACACTATGTCCGGCCGAACCTGTATGGGGGTGTCATAATCGAAATCGACAAAGTCGAAGTCAAAATTTGTAATGCATAAAATGCAATGCGAATGCCCAAACTGCCTGTATTGGAGGGCAGGCAAGTCAGTCCGATTGTCAGCCTGTTCGGGGTTGGAGATAGACTGGCTCAAGTAGCATGACAAACGATGCTCTCTTTCCCAAACCAGCCTGACAGACTAGATATATGTGCTAAATACCGAAATCTGTCATGCGCCGCTTAGATGAAACTGGGCTTCCAAGTGCCACCGGTTTTGTGCATAAAGATTGCAAGCTATTTCAACTTCTATCGTCGATTTCGATCCTGGTGCTTTCATAACCTCGACTCCATTCTCGTCCCCGTCGCGGTTTTTTTCCACGGTGCACTGTATCCACAAAAAAAGACCCATCCCCATCCAATTTGCCATGCAAAACTCGCATCAAGTCCAGTGCCTGTCATGTAAAAAGTTGATGTGGATGGGTGTTTTTTCCTGGATCCGCCGGCCTACAACTGTCTCGGCTTCGCCATTCACAATATCATGATGGATCTTTCCGTATGCGAGGCAATGGAGCTTCAATATGTAGTTATTGTGCCAGCACGACGCACGACGTATTACAACCTGTATCTTCAGTGCAACGTGTTGACATGAACATGACTGCTCTCTGATCTTAATTGCTCGTATATTTTTCAAGCAAGCCCTACGCAAAACTCGTACAGCTGTTGCCTGAATTTTGAGTCGTGCTTTTTCTCCGTCGTCCGTCGTGTCTGGTCAAAGGAAGAAAACGAATTTGTCTCTGGATACTGCGCACACGACGTGAATTTGCAGGTGACCATGAACACTTTTTTCGACATCACCAGCATGCTGTGCACCACGGTGGCTCAGTTTCTCGTAGCGAGGTTCTTGTCCAGCAGGTTGGAACCAAGAGTGAATGACACGGACCAGCCACAACAAGAAGCTACAAGTAGCGCAGATGCAGTGTCATCTGCATCTCCAGCGTTGTCGATGCACCATGCGCAAGAACAATCCATTGGCGTCCTTCTGCCCTCGGATTTCGGAAAAGTCTACGTTATCTGCTTCTTGATTGCCTTCGTCGTGTTTCTCTGGCAAAGCAAGTTTCTGCCGGAGACGAAGCCACGAAAGGGAAGCGCAGCTGCAGCCGCAACGACCGCTCACACGACGAGAAATGACGTTGGGAACAACATGGCAGCTGGCGGCGAAATGCGTTCGGTTGTGTCGTCAGAATACAACCTCGTCGACCACGACGGTAGGCTGACGAATGTTGAAAATGATGTCCCGCCTCACGACTCATTTTCTACAACTTCCGCTGCACATAATGCCGGTATAAGTTCATCTTTCCACCGGTATAATTTGTATAAACTTCCGCAACTCGTCACCACAAGCACGATGGCTTCGTGTTGTCGAAAGCGAATCACCGCACGAAGTGGAATAAACGCACCTTGGGGGGAGTCCTCTCCCAGAAGAACGGCTGGCGCAAGTACAGAAACTGCAGCAGCAGCCGCAACTTCTACTGCGTCAACCTCATTTTCCACGACAACTACTGCCGATGGTTATTCTGCAGAACTCTCGCCGTCGCCACCGCGACTAAGTCGAGGTAGCAGTGGTAGCTCCCCCACTTCTTCTTGTTCCCGGCCAGGTTCACCTTTGTCATCCACCACAGCAGGAGCGAACTCGGCCACTACACAGCACCACCACCCCACGACACTAGGCCACGGGGATAACGCTTCTTTCGGACTGCACAAGGCGGTCACAACGCAACGCGAGCGGAATGGCAACCAAGATGAGCAGGAGCTCCTGAAAAGACGGAGGTCCTCAAGCTACTGGGACGATGTTAATGAAGTGGACACAATATTATTATCCTGTGCAAAAGGCCAAGGCGACGCATCCGTACGCTTTATAAATCAGGCCAGTCACGCATGACCGAGCAGCTCCTTTCTTTATTTGAATCTGCATGTAGGAAATTATCCATATTTTCGTTATACAAATAACTTTTGCCATGTGATTCCTACTACGTGCGACCTCGATACTTTTGCATTGCATACGCCACAGCAGGAGGAGCTGCCTCCTTCGGCGACGTTGACATGAACGGAGGTCGCGGGTCGACAAAAGACTCGAAAATTCAGCAGCAGACCAATCTGCATTCAGCGTTTTTTGGAGGAGCAGGGCCAACCTCGCAGATGAACAAGGGCGGTAGTATTGAAAAGGCCGTCCACCACTACTTGGCGTCTCTGTTCGACTGGCATAGTTGGCGCTCGCGGCTACTTTTTCTTCACAATCTGTTTCGGGAAACGTTCAAGGTAAATCTCCTGCTGTGCCGGCAGAGCTCGTTTCTTAGGCTTTGGTCAGTGCAGATTCTGTTCTACTACCTCGCGGAGAGCAAGTGGGAAGTTTTGGCGTCCTATACCATCGCTGTCTGGGACTGGGCGCCCGGGGCGTTGGAGCGGCTGTGGGCGAAGCTTGGCTGGGTGCACGTCTGCAGCTTGTCGCTCCTACCCTTCGTGTTGCGGTATGTCGCTGTCGGTCGTGGTGGTGGAGAGAGACAAACCACAAGTAGCGCGAGCAGCTACAGCGGTTCAAACGGAAGCAGGAGCCAGAATCAAGAAATTGGCGGCACGGAATTCGATTTCCAGCAGCATCTAGATCAAGAAGGCCAACTGGAGCGCTTCGAGCAAAATTATCCACAGTAAAATTGTTCTTTTTACCCCCATTTGCATTTAGAATTATTTGGCATGGAAAACATGAAGTCGTGCGCGTGTCTGTATTTGCGATGCGAAAATAGATGTTGCTATTGCTTGATGGGGATGAAAATTTTATTCCTCTGGATAGAGATAGAAACGACTCCACGACACATACTCTCCTCCACACGGCTACTTCTTCTAGTGCGCGCCCTTTATCTGCAGAAGCAGGAGCACAGGATGAAGGCCAAGATGTGTACAAGAAGCTCGGGAAACTGCTCATTGTCGCATCGGTGTTTCAAACACTGTTATCAACATGGATAGTACCTCCTTGCTCACCATCTCTCGCCCTAAGTTTGTGATGCCCATATGCGCATTGAAGTACGGGCGGCCGTGTTTTGCATTTTTTTTATGCAACACAAAAAGGGAAAACTGACATTGAGGGCGATCATGGTGTGAGCAGTTCTGTTATCTGGGATATTTGTGCATGGGCTCTTACAGCCTCTCCGCCCACATTCCTGTTGTCGTATGCTGTGTGAAATCCACCCTACCTGCTCCACCAAGAACTCTTTCACTTCCATGGTGCGCTAAGATAATGCAAGCTTTTTGATGCACATGTGCATGTCTATGGTGCCTGTTGCATCAGTGAGTCATAAAGACATATCTTCTTCGTGCATAATCAAAGTCAACGGATTGCGCAGTATGAACTTGAAAGTGAAAGAACATGGATTTCCGCCGCATATCGCGGGCCGAAGCTGTACATGGTCTTTTCTGCGTTCACCTGTCTTATGGGGTGGCAGAGCTCGATGCGGTTCGCGTTTCTGACCCAGGCGATCTCCTGCGACCCAAAGCTGATACACCACCGAGCCAGCTCGATTGCGATGATTGCCACCGTGAAAAACGTCGCCGCGGCCCTAGGTGCCTGGTATTTCTCGACCGTGTTGTTTGACGCGCACGTGCCCCACGGCAGCTGGGAGAGCGGACTGATCTTTCGCGTTTCCTTCTACTTCATGGTATTCGCCGACTTTTTCTACATAATCGCGTACTGAGAGAAAAACTGCGATACAGAAAAAAATCTGAAATTTTGACTCGCCGAGGCGAACAGTATTTGAGTGCGGTTGCCGCAACGACTTGCAGTCAAAGACATGCCGCAATGGGCGGCCAGAGGAGGTAAGTAGGTGGTCGAGGTGGCGACCGTTAGGCAGGGACTGGAATCAAGTCCAGCGAATATATCTCATTTTTTTGATGCAAAGTGAGCACTTTTGGAAGACAGCTGAAGCGCAACACTTGGCCGGTTGGAAAACTGTGATACAGCACATCGCGGTAGTGCTCGCACGAGTACACTGCGCTGATGTATCACACTTTCACAAAACCACCATAGCACCGGCGTTAGCTTCCGCTTAGTGAAATTGTAAAAGTGTGATACAGCAGCTCGACCGAGGTACTCGCCGGAGTACTCGACGGAAAAATTCAGCGCCTTCGTTGGCGTCATGCAAAAAATACGATAACCCGTAGCAAATTCAATTTCATTCCCCATGGTGTGGCGGGTTTAGGTCTGCCCAATCTTGGTGGGCCGCTTTTCGTCGTCCGGAGCCTGCAACCAGCTGACGACTTTGCAATGTCGCTCTGTCGACCAAATGCAAAATAGTTTAACCGTATCCGCAGCGTTGCTGCGAATCAAAATTTCAAATTTTTTCCTGTATCACAGTTTTTCTCTGAGTATCGCGATTGTCAAGCACAGTAACTCCTCGTCTTCAGTCGAGAAAAGAAGTTATCCGCGGTAAATTTTCCGCACAAATGAACTTACCGCCTCTGATCCTAGTTAGCATGACCAGGATACTAGGAGTGACATCACAATCACTTGGCAGCATGTGTGATGCACTTTGTACCTGTGCGGGAGACTTGTAGTGCATACGAGTGGAAAAAACGAGGCAACTACACCGGATGAGCTCAAGACGAGAGATAGGGGGGCATCGAATTCGGGGTCAACACAACATGTCGTAGTACAACAGCAGCAGCACCATGCCCAAAAAAACCCGAGCAAACCGAGCGACATTTTCTTTGGACTCGATGAAGAAGAACGAGGACGCTTGCTCATCCTGTGAGCCGTCTGAATTTGACCTCGTCCGCGAAAGATACTGCGAAAGCAAGATCTTTTGGTCCACTCATGGCGGTACTTCCATGAAGCGGATTTCCAAGCATTTGTCACTGTCAGCTGAGAATATGATAAACCAAAAACCAAATCGCTATCACATGTTTCGAAGATGAACTACAACTCGCGCTTCCAAGAAGTGCATCGTCCTCTGTATTTGAGGCTCACATAAAACAAAATACAGTTTTTGAACGTCGGACGAGATCGCAATGGTGCAATATTACCACGCAATGCGCATTTATTTTTAGCGCAAGGTGGATCTAGCATCTGCTCGCAACTCTTCATCGGGGCCAATGCTGCTGGAGTTCTCTTGGCATCGCGACACAAACCTTGAGTCGAAGTTCGTCTCTGCGGAACAAGTATCAATGAGCAAGGCACCAGCAGGTCGCGTGAGTTGTTTATGTGAGTATAGGAGTTTGTTTGATCATGTGTGTTATTTGTGGCGAGAGAAGGCAGAGAGGGTTGGGGACTAAAAAGATGTTACTGCGAGGACGGCACAAGATAACGCAATCAATGAGGACGTCGGAGGTGCAGTGTCTGAGCCTTTCCTCGTTGAAGCTGGATGTGTCGTTGTTCTTCTTGAGCTTTATACAGGTTTCATCCCTGTAGTGGTGCGGTTCCTTTAGCATGCTCATATAATCGACAGCTGATTTCAAGCTGAAAGAACTTTGTTGCTTTCTTTTTCATCCCGCCTCGTGGTCCGTTTCAGGAGTAGAAGTGAGGCTGCAAGTAGATAAATTGCAATCGCCAAGACGACATCCAAATCAAAACTATGCCGTCCCCCGCGAAAGGATCTCCGGAGGCTTCGAATCCCGAAGAGGAGAGGCAGCAACACGTATGTGAAGGAAAAATTCTTGCCGTAGCGCCCGCAGATTGCACAGCAAACGATGACATTGGTACTGCATGTTGACAAGATCCAATGAGTATGTTGATGTTGAGGCTATTTGTATTTCCTACATTATTCAGCATCGACATGGATTGGAATTTGGCAAATAACCGATCCGTATTACATCTTCCATGGATTTGTCGTTCCACTTGTGCATCTCGTAGGCTTGTCGCGGAACGAAATTTGCATTGCATACCACGAGGAAAGCTTCGATGACGAGGATTCGCGGGAAATCCAGCCCTGGACCTCCGAGCAATTTTTGAAAAGGAGCAAACTGCTGCAAGAAGACGTAAAGATTCCCGACGCGCGAAACGCCGCCGCGTGGGAGGCACTTCTCAGCAAGGACTTGGACGAGCTTGTGAAGCTGGAAGAAGACCACGCGACTGCCACGGGAGTTGTTGTGCCCGGAGGACCAGTAGTTGGGTTAGATGGAGAAGAAGCCGGCGACGAGGACGAGGAGGAAATAAGTCAGGACCCGGCGAGCAAAAAGGAACAAGCGTCCGCAGATCACGACAATTCGCAGGAGGAGTTTTCGGGACAGGTGAAGCGTACGACGGGCAAGACAAAAAACACGAAACGGGTGGAGACGTACGGAATCGACTACTTCAACACCGAGGACAAGGAGGCCTTTCGAAAGGAGGGGTCGAAGAAAAACACCAGCTACTTCGTCGAGAATGGTGTGCAACTGTTCCGGAATGAAATGGACAAAACTGCAGAAGAAATCATGGAGGAACAAGGGGAGGTACTTCTACTCAAGGCGCAAATTTAGTATATGCTGTTGACTACTGTTGATCATTTTCATCTTGTCATACACGCAGCACAGTGCTGGACATCAATCTTCTCTTCTTCATTCTTCGTGGTCACACACCGGGCGGACTGGAGTTGAGTTCCTCTCCTTATGTGATGTAAGATTTGCGACGCAGCGTCTTCATCTATCCATTTTAATCATCTAACTTACTACCTATGCAGGAAACCGGCGGCGCGGCTAAAGAGCCCGAGCAAGCTCCAAAATCGTCAAAAAACCTGTTCAAGGAGGCCTACCGATATTCACAGGAGCAAAGTTGTATCTAAACCGTAGACGTGCACCATCAAGCATGAATGTAACCGCGAGGCTCTTCTCCATCTCTTGCTAGAAAGCTTAATCAGCAAGAGGAATAATGTACTTTATGCATTTGCTTGCCGAAACTTTCCCTACGTGAAGACGGTGACACAACGTTTGTTCGTGTTGCATAACCGGGAAGCCTACGCGTTGTCCGGCCTTGACCGCTACCGGGACCACCTCCATCAGCTAACGAAAAATGCAAACAGCGACGTGTGGAACCGTCGCGACAAATCCAACGACTTTCTAGACAAGTTTTGCGATTCTGTCAAGACCCTGGGGAAGGGTAACTGCCAGGAAATGAGCCGGCAACAAGAGCAAAAACAGTTTCGCACGATGCAGAAGAAAAGATAAAAATCGTAATCGGCTACCGCTTTGAATTAATTTAATGTACGATGAGCAAAGTAGAAGTGATGAAGCGCAAGCGGGGCTACTAGCGTAAGGTACTTATCAGCAAGATGTGAGGACCAGGAGTGATATGATGTCACTGAGGGAGGTGGAAGGAAGCCCCACTGCGCTCGTGTGTTCGAAAAAACTGGAGATCTTATGTCTACAAGAAGGTCGTCTACACTTCCTGCGCTATCGAGTTCGAAAAAATTAGTTTCTTCGGTTCGGATGGAGGTGCAGGTGGAGATGCCGTGAGGTCGTGAGAGAAAGGTATAAGTATTGGCTCTTACCCCCCTTCTCTTTCAGAGACAGGTCCGCTGAGTATCTCGTTGCCATTGTCGTGTAGTTTCGTTTCCATTATCGTCCGCTTATTAGGTCCGCTGAGTATTTTCGTCGTCCGCTTATTAGGTCCGCTGAGTATTTTCGTTGCCATTATCGTGTCTATCGTGATCATCGTTGTAGTCGTTGTTCTTCAGCTAGTAAAAACTGTAAAAAAGCAACAGAAAAACTGTAAAAAAGCAACAGTTTCTATCGATGCGAGCATCCTGCCAATAGTCTGTCATATTGTGGCTCATCTTATCCAGGTCGTCTACAACGGTCGTGATGTTGAGAATATGAAGGTCGGGGAATCATGTGGCTCCTATCCATTCGCTTCGCGTAGAAGTACATCGTCGTCGCAAGTTTTACTCCATGTTTGTTACATTTTTGCCCAATAAAATTTTTGTGCTTAATATCCTGTCCTTCATCTCAAGCTTGTGTTGTCTTAGTCGTCCTGTTATAATTTTACAAAAAACGAGAATCTTGTCAATTATGTTTGCTGTCTGGTGAAGATGATATGGGACGAAAAATGTCTGCTGCTAGCGCTCTTTGATGATCGTCCTCAGATGCCGTGCTTTATTGTTTTGAGGTTGAGTTGGGGCCTCGTGTCGGCCACGGGAGCGTCAGTCACCACCTCCTAGCGTAGGGGAAGAGCCAGAACCTTGATTACTTGTTCGGGCGGAAAGGAAAGTAATCATGTCGGAGGAGGTGCCGCTGCCGGTTTCCTTCGAAAATGACGCTTCGGCTTCCCCCAGCCCGCAGCCACCGCAACAACTGCCACCGCCCCAGCGCAAACTCCCGCGGAAACCCCCACTGTACGAGTTCGGGACCCTGCGATTCTACGAGAAGTTCGAGCAGAAGCTCGAGGACGATTTTATAACCCGCTCAGGTGTTACTGTTACAATCTCAAACGTTAGAATAGAATGTGGGATTTGTCTTGCATGAGCAGCATGAGTACCAGAGAGAGACCTGCCCTTTTCGCAATACAAATTTCGCTGGATTTCAGTGCCGTTTGGGGCTGCCGAACTCGTCATGCGCACTGCTGTGGGAGTAGGCCAGGGGTTGCACGTTTTGCATCACAAATTCCAGATTCTATTATAACGTTTGTGTTTGAGATTGTAGCATCTGAGCAAGCTATAGATTTGTACGAGAAAATCCTGCGGTATGGAACCGGCAGCCGGATGCGGGTCCCCTACGCCGACCAGACGGTGAGCCAGCTGAAGCACGTCCGCGCCTGCTTGAAGCAGCTGCGAAAGACGCCGGACAACACGCAAGCAGTCTTCACCGACATCCACACCAAAGGGGCGTTCTTCGACTACGAGAATGCCGCGAAGTCTCGGCCCAGCACGCGCGGCGCGGGGTCGCGCCCCTCAAGTACGACCAGCAGCACGATTGGCACCATGGGCAAGCTCATGAACTTTTCTCGCAAAGTGAAGAGCGCGGCCGATGTACTGTTGCGGATCCGTATCCACAGGAAATGTAGTGATATTCCCTTACAAGAACAACTACAAGTACAAATACAAACACGGCGTCTGCATGACGGAACTTTAACTTACCTTCCAAGCCAATTCTGCATGACAAGTTGATGTCTTTGTGTGTCCTCCATAAGCGGGAATTTGCATTGCATAATCCGCAAGGTGAAGCGGGTGCTGGACCCTAATCTGCGCGTCTTTCCGCGGAGGGTGTTCTCGGGCTGGTACAGCGAGGAGGCGGTGGAGATCATGAACGACGAGGAATTGTCCGACAAAAAATTTCAGGTGCAGTGCTGCGAGTGTCTCGACGACCCCCTTTCCACCCGCAACATCATCCCCTCCCACACCGACTACAAAGGCATCCTGATGGAGGTCCGGATCGACCGCAATCTGGAGATCGAGGCGGAAGGGATGAAAAGCAAACAGACCAGCACGGGTGACAAAGATGGAACAACGGGCACTACACTTGCGAACGCTAAAGGCGCAAAGGCGAAACTCAAAGCCGCTGCAACGATGGTGTTCTCAGCCTTAACGAATACCAGCGCGACTTCTAGTGGTGGAGGGAAGAGTGGTAGTAGTGCAGGGGGAGGCAACAAGAACAGCTCGAATGTTAAACAAGGCGGCAAGAAGGCGGGTGGTGGCGCAACAAATAAAGCTGCAAATATCTCAGGGACAGGGGGTGCTTCTCCAAATAACTCGAATAGACAGCTGCAACTTTCGCTGGGCGGTGGGACGTCGAACACAAGTAGAAACACAGCAGGAGGTCAACGTCATCCAGGCGGAGAGCAGCAGAAGATGTTTTCCTCGAGTTCGGCTTTCCTCCCCCCCTTCCCGATAGAAGAGCCGAAACGGGACACCGACCTGGTCCGAGTAGTGAACACCGGAGAGATTTACACAAACCTGGTGATCCGCGGCAAGCTGAACGAGCAAACGTACTTTGATCCGAGGACGCTCCGCGAAGATTTTTACGACGACGCCAAGAAGGGCTTCCAATGGTACTTCGACCAGTGTGAGGAAGTGTGGAAGCGAAAACAGGCGGAAAAGCAACTCGCACTGGAGCAAGCAGGGGCGGGCGAAGGAGACGTGACGGGAGGCGGAGCGACTGTGCAAGGCTCCGCAGCAGGTGGGCGGGCTCCGACTTCTGCTGCGCAGAACAAGCAAGGACGTGGGACGAGTGGTAAGTCCACCTCAGGGCAGACGAGTGCAAAAAACAAAACTTCGCCCACTGGAGGTGGCAACAAGAGAGGAAATAGCACGACCTCTGGCGCCGGTCCATCAACATCTGGAGGCAACTCGGCCGGGTTGGCGATGCCAATCACCAGTCTTTCCTCCTCGCCTTCGAACAAAATTGCACCAGCGAGTTCAACCGGGAAAGCTGCGAGCGACGCCGGGGGATCCCATAGTATGTAGTGAGGTCACCGAACGGTTCTAACCAGGGAGTTTTTTTGACAGCTACCCTGAAAAACGACCGGCAGTTTTCAAGCGGCCGGAAGCGTTTTTTGACAAAAAATATTTTCAATTATCAAGCGGCTTTGGCTGTGTCGGCACCGAATCGCCAGCGGATTCTATCGATCGCCGCTGGGTAAAACGACGCAGGGGAGCCGGCAAAAGGGGCGCCCTTCTGAGGCGCCCACCGCCTTAGTTTCTGGCGGTTTGGGGCGCCCAAAAAGGGGCGCGAAAAAAACGCGCCCAAAATCAGAACAGCGAAACAGCACGGCACGGCCGCGATTTCGGAGCATTTTGGGCGGCCGCGAAAGCGGCCGAGTTTTCGCCTGTTTCAGAGCCTGGGAAGCTTTGCAAAAAGCGCCGGCGCGAAAAATAAAAACGCAAAAAAGCAAAAGCGCGCCAGACGCGCAAAGCCAGCCCGCATGCTACGGGCCCGATTTCCCTTCGCTTTTTGGGCGCCCCCCGTGGCACCCGGATCGGCCCCATAGCATGGGGGCTGGCTTTCGGAAGGGAATATCGGGAATTTGCCAAAATTTGCGACGTTTATGAAGCGGCCACCATACCGTGCGGCCTAACGTTACTCGCGACGGCATGGCGAACCCAGGAAAAGCACAGCCGCGGCCAAAGCGACGGCCGGCAAGAAAACGCCCACGACCTCACTACCTCCGCCCCGGCGGCTATATTTGGTACCGACGCCGTTGTCTCTTTCTCGACAGCTGCCACCGGTACGGTGGTGCAGCAGCAGCAATTTGCTATAGGTCCGGACCAAATCTCCTCCCCGTCCAACTTGCACCACATTGAGCTTCAAGACCGCGGCCATCAACTTGCCGCAACCAGTACCGCCGCCGGCGGAAACAATAAGACCTCCAAACACAAGAAAGACGAGACCAAGCTGCACACGGACTGGACGGGATTTCAGGAATGGTTTCGCGAAAAACACAAGCAGACGGCGAAGCTCCCGAAAGCGTCGGAGAGCGACTACTTTCTTTTCTCGAGCGAGATCTCGCGAAAGCGGGAGACTGTGACGGAATTTGGCAGCGTGGAGCGCTTCGAGAGCGCGAAGGAGGATTTGTTCGATTTGAAATACGGACTCTTTGACAAAGATTACTTGACCTCGGAAAGAAGAATCACCCGGCTCTCCTGGATCCAACCCCTCTTGCGGAAAAAAATGGTACCTGTGAACGAACCTGTAGCTGCGGAAGCACAGCAGAAGCGGGGTGGACGAGCACTGGCCGCAAGGAATATCACTGTTGGTACTACTTCCGAGCAGCGAAAAGGGCAAAAAACGTCGAGCCCGCATCTAAATAATCCGGAAGAAGAATTGAAGGAGGTTGTCGAGTTTCTCTATCCCTACTCGGCGTTACCAAAGGTGGACTTGAAGTACTACTTCCTCGGCGGACCCGACCTCGCCGCGCTGGTCATTGCGCACAAGCGGAAGCAGAAAAAGTACCAGATTGAGATCGAGTTCGAGCAGGGGCCGCTGGGTAAGTTGCGGGACCAGGAGAAGAAGCTCGAGCGCAAATTGTTCGGGAAGCGCTACTTCGGGGACGTCGGGGATGTTGACGACGTTGAGGTTGAAAACCCAAAGGAGAAAAAGCAGGTCACGTTTTTATGCACAGAAATCATGATTTAGCGCGCATGGGCTTGCGCTTGGGCACGGCGTCGGTGGTTTGGGTTTCGCAAATGTCGCGCGTGCATAAACAGGGCTCTGCCCTAGCGCTTTCTCCTGTGATCTTCTCATTGCACAACACATCATAAGAAAGAAATTCAAGATTCTTCAGGTACTAATATGCGCAAATTTGTGTATGCATTTCGTACATCAAGAACGTCCGTCTACGTGCGCGCTAGATTTGTATTCCGCATACTTTGTCGGGATGGCGAAGAAGATGCAGGCGCTGGGTGTGATGGCCAATATGGGGGTGATGAAAAACAAAACCAATCCGCTGAAACCCTACCGCGCCGGGCTTCAGAAGGTGCGGGAGAAATTGTTCGTTTTGGAGGCGAAAAAGGCGGAAATGCTGGCGGACGTGGACATCCAGGAGGTGCCGCTTCCCGGACACCGGTTCCTGGATGAAAACTCGTACTACACAATCGAGCCAGAAACGGTGACGATCAAACCCGGCGTGAGCGAAGCGCCGGTCGGTTTTGGCGAGGGGGAAGACGATGTCAATCATGATGAAGTTGCCTACAACAACGTCGACAACCAGACCGAAGAAGACCCGCCACAGGAGCCCGACAAAATCGTCCGGAATGACGGGGTGATGGAAATTCTTGGCGACGTGCGGATCCAATACGAGAGTGCACAATCTTTCTTTTCACTTTTTCCCGCGATTTGTCATGCAAGATACCGACTTGATCATTCTCAATCTTTCTCTTCTGGATGTGGACCTGGAATTGTTCGCATTTACGATTTCTAGGACCAGTGGTGCCGCTGAAGCTACGTCGCCACGGCGCTTTTATTGCATCTATTACTTTACTAGAGACCATGCAAGTGACGGAGTTTGAGTTGTCGGGGTGAACATCAAGTTGTGTACTCTCATATCCAAGTTGTGAAAACGACAATTAAGACACCGATCCCTATCGACCCAGAAGAACTCGCGGAGGACCCGAACAAAATCCACAAACTGACTTTCACCACTTCCACCTCGCTGCGGTTGAACTTTCAGTTTCTGATCAAGGCGAGGACGCGAATGCAGTGGCAGCGGCGGTACATATCCTGTGCAAAAGTATCGTACTCGTATTGCAGTCATGCATTACAAATCTTTTTGTTTTAGCTAAATCCGCATATGCTGAGAAATGCATTTATACGAGTGCGATACTTTTGCAGTTCATAGTACAGCAAGGAATACAAGTGGGATATGGATGTGCTGAAGCAGCAAATCGAGAAGTTGACGCTGGGCGACATCCAACGCGAAGCGGCGAACGAAGGCGTTCCGAACTTGCTGTCCGTGGAGAGCAGCACCAAGGGCAATATGCATTGCAAATATGTCTGGGTCCGGAAGAATGCAAACTTGTTAGGCGCATTTCACAACACATAAAAATCTCTCATGCACAGGCAGCAAAAGCTACCCACTTTCTGTCACCAAAATGAGGCATTTGTCATGCGGATTCGGCATTGCGGAAGCTGCCTCTCGAAACCTGTGATGCTATAGGTTCCATGCCAGACCTTCTGCGTCATGCAAAAACAGCATGACTCTTCCAGACCCAGACGCTTTTGCACTTGATAGGCAAGTGGTGGATCCAACTGAAAGATCCAAAGGCGCTGCAGATCCTGGTATGAGAGTGCACAACTCCCGCCCCCCCCTCCCCCCTCATTTGTATTGCATGAACAGCAAAAATACAAACACCAGCACACGTGGAGCCTGTGCATGACAAATTCACGCGCCTAGTGTAGTACTGTTTGGGCTTCCGGAATCTGTCATGCAAACAGTGCCACAGGAAAGCACTTAGATTTCGGGTTTTGCGTGACAAATGAGGGCGAGGGGGAGTTGTGCACTCTCATACCTGGCGATCATTGACCCGAATGGGGTGAGGAACTTGAATGCCGACTACGAAGACCGACACTCGTATCCAGGATGAAAAAGGCTGTCGTGTTAGTGGAACTTTCTTGTGAAGATGAAAACAGCATACACAAATATCGATCTGCCGGGTGGACAGCAAAAACTTGTGATGCGCAGATAGACTCGCCTACGATGCATGCTTGTCGAGCATGACAGGTGATAGCTGTTAGTTCGTGTTTCGCTGCGCAAGAATGCAACACAAAGAAGTTACACTTCACTTACATCACTTTTTTTCTTGCATAGCTCGCGGCTCTTCCAGGAAAAGTGGCATGAATATTTGCTAGGAAAGACAGATTTGCGGGAGATGCCGCACGATTTCCAGAATTTGCGGAACGTTTTGTTTGATGTGAGCAGCAGCGACTCGTCAGGTGGAAGTAGCAGCTCGGCAAATGGAAGCTCGACAGAAGACTCGTCTTCTTCAGCTGCGGAGGGGGACGTCGAGAGTAGTAACCCGTCCGAGGCAGAACAAGGAGGGGCAACTAGTAGGACCGCGGGTGACGGTGTTAACAACGACGGTCTAGTTGTCGTCGCTCCACCAACCTCCGCCGGCACGACAAACACAGGACCACAAGAAACGGCCAGCAAAGTGGTTTCGTTTGAACAAGGTGGAGGTGATCAACCTATTGCAAGAACTACATCGATTCCCCCAGCAGCACCAACCAACAACAACACGAAAGCCTATCCATCGCTCCCAGTGTTGAGAAAATCGGATTTGAAGCCGATCACGGTTTGCCTGTCCGCGTTCTCCAAACACACTCACCTTTCCGACTATGGCGTTCTCAAATGTTACATTCTCAACTGTTGCATGAATTTGCAACGCAAGAATGGCAAAAGTGAAAGGAAGGACCTTGCGCGTCTTGCGTGACAGATTTCGCAGCACAGATTCTCAGCCTGTTTGGCCGTCTGAGCATTTGTCACGCGAAGCAGCTTGACGGCGTTGCTAGTCACGGCAATTTTGCATGGCAAATCATGTAACAGTTGAGGGCGTAACAGTTGAGAGCGCCATACCGACATGGACAGCTTTATGCGCGGGAAAAAGGCGAACCCGGCGGACATTCTGGCCTTCAATTTGAAGGCGGAGGAACCGAAGATTTTGAAGAAGTTCGAAGAAATGGAAGAGAATAGGAGAACGGAAGAAGTGTTGTTCTTAAAAAATCGCGCACTGGAAGAGGAAAAGGAAAGACGTGAGACTGGTGCGACTGCTGGCACCGGTAATTATCGTACTAATTGTCAACCCGGTACTAGCCCTAGCGCGTCTGGCTCAGGTGCAAAGGAGAAGACCATGTCCACGAACACCACCGGCGAGGATGTAGAAGATGTTGGGCAACAGTTACCTGATTCGTCCACAGCGCGACGCGAAGAAGGAGCAGCTCAACTACAAGCAGCGGAGGAAGAGGAGGAAGAAGAAGAAAAAAAAGCACAGCAAATCTTCAACCCTGAGCCCATCAAGCAGCAGGAAATCCTGCATTCCGAGACGTTATGCAAGCTGTATTTCCGGGCCACGACCTCGAAAATGCCTTTTGGGCAGAAGTACGAAGAGAACTTTTACGGACCCATCCCGAAATATGGAAGCGTCAGGATTGAACTCGTCAAAGTTGAAAGAATTTCTTATGCACAAATTGCAAGGCATGAAGTGCCTCTTTTGCAGGGGCGGCAAGCAAGGCCGACCGTGAGCATGCTTGGGGTCTGCGGTAGAGCTGCTAAAGTAGCATGACAAAAGACGCCTTCTGTCCCTAAACAGCATGACAGACTGGATTTAGACGGTGCCGAAATTTGTCATGCACCGCTTGGAAATTGGGCTTCCAACTGGTATCGATTTTATGCATTACAAATTATTTCAACTTTGTCGATTTCAGTGCTGACACTCCCATACGAAATCCAACCTCGGGTCCTGTTGGCGGAAGTGCTGGCAAAATTTGCTGACCCAGCCGGGGTATCAAATGTAAAAATGTCTGGGTCTGGAAACTTGTAATGCTGGGTGGCGTCTCATGATGAGGCTGCAAATGCTGGCGCAGCATGACAAATTTCTGAGCTCCTAGGTGTTGCCTATTCTGCATGACAAACTGCGCTTTTGCATCACAAAAAAACGGAGCTCTTAGGTAACGTGCATGACAGATTTAAGAGTCACGCCAGACAAGCATGACAAACATGAATTCTTCCAGACCCAGACATTTTTACATTTGATACGGGGATTCCGGAGTGGAGCAAGGACCCGGTCGCGACGCGGTTTGAGAAGCTAAAGTGGTTCGCGCGGAGGCGGTTAGCGTGGAAGCATTTTGTGTGGCGGGGCGCGGACTTTGAGAGGTTTTTGGCCGAACGGGGGGAAGAGGTGAAGAAGGGCATTGACGTGAGCGTGCTGATCGCGCGGAAAAACAAGCGGTTGGCCAACAGCTACGCACCGGTAATCTTTTTCACGAACGACGAGCACCAAAGCGAGGATGTCGACGGGAGGACGCGTGGTACTTCTACGTTTCATCTCAGTGCCCCCGATGTGGGAGGCTCATTTGGAGGAACAGGAGATGTTGAGGCTGACCCCGACACTGTCACGGCACTCGGAGGTCGTAACGCAGTTGCGTCGACGTCGTCGTCGGTGGATCAGCTACAAGTAGCTCCCGCGTTCGCCGCGTTTACTTCATCCAAAGTAGATGAACCAGTGAAAAATTACAACGCCATCTACCCGGTTCTGAGCATGATCACGGTGCCTGGATCGGAGGAAATGGAGCATTTCACTGCAGATTTGCCACAATTTTTGGAGAAGATGAAGGAGCAAGCTCGGGCAGCAACGTCATCTCCTGGAGACGATAGAGAGATAACATCAGCGGGGAATTTTGACGTCGTCGTGGGTGGAACTGGTGAGCAGGTAGGTGTTGAGCAGAAGGCGAAAGCCCCTGTAATGAAAAAAGCTGTTGACGACGAGAAAAGCAGAGCTAGTAGCACGTTCGGAGACCACAGTACGACCAGCACCGCGCCGGCCGCGGAGGAAACCCTGACGGATCGCCGCAAGCGGTTCGACACGCGGTGTTACCTCTTTGCGAAGCCGGTCTCTTTCCCACAGCAAAGCGCAGATCATGGAGCTGGTGCCTATTCCTTCAACTTCGGCACAGTTTCTTCTTCCGAGGTACAACGCGCGGCTGCGCCGGGCAACAATCAGGCCAAGCACGAGCGGACCACGAGACGAGGACTTGTACCCGATTCGCGCTCCCCCTTCCGCCCGGACTTGCCCGAACATTCGTTTCTCCACCATTTTCTGCACAACACGTCGCCGACGCAACACGTTGTGGTGTATCCGGAAGTTGAAAAGCACACGATGGAGGATCTCGTCGCCAACAAACAGCCCGACAGCATCGCCCAACTGCTGTTTCGCCAGTCTTTCTACACAGCGTCCCCCCACGACCACGAATTTTTTTCCCTCGATAAATGCGGCGCGTTTCCGAACCAGTTCGTCAGCACTGGAGACCGTCAACAGCAAGACCAGCGGACTTCTAACAGCGGCAATCAAAATGATGACGTCGCCTACCACGAGCCCTCGGGGTTGAAAGGCCCCGCCCCCCGCCTACCTCAGTTCCTCGATATGTTGAGGCCCAGCCAGAACCTTTGACAATTCTACTGCAACCTAAATCATGTTCAGACTCGCGTTGGAATAATCTACCATCTGAAAAAATCCAAATTATTACCACGAAAATGCGTGGTACTGGGTCAGAAATCTAGAGGATCCCCAGCTAGGGGCTGGCACGAGATGACATGATGAGAGCTGGGGCTCTAGGTCTATCGGGGTCGGTTTAGAAATCCCTGCAAAGTTTGCTACTGGTAAATGAGATCCCCCTCCCCCCCTTCCACTAGGCGCGGGTACCATACACGCTGCCTGTTTTTATCTGCTTCGACATTCTCACAGGGGACATTCTAGGTGCGCGCAAGTGTAGCTTGCCGCCTAATTCCACAGTATACTCACACGCTTCTCACTTAGCACCTTGCTTAGAGATAGAGACCATGCCCGCGAAGGCGAAAGCGAAGCACCCGGCTAAGGCTAAGGCCCCGGCCAAGCCTAAGGGGAAGGCGCCTCCCCACAAGGCTAAAGCTGCGAAAGCCGTAGCCAAACCGGCCGCGAAGATGAAGGCTCCGGCCTTGGGGGCCCGGGAAGTAGATGAAGAGGAAATTTGTGCGGCCCTGTTAGCGGAAGAAGGGGAAGAAGAGATCCCGGCCCGCAAGGGTCCGCCGCCGGTCAAGAAGAGAAAGGTGGCGCAGGATTTCAGTGACAGTGACGTCGAGGCCTTTGGGATCTCTCGCTCCGAATTATTAGCACATCAGCGGGCGCCTTCCCCGCTTGATTCTCTGTCCTCGGTAGATGTGCCTGCGGAAAGTCTTGCGCGGGCTGTTTTGGACTACAACGGGGTGAAGTCGTTCCACATTTGCAGCGCGCCCACCTGTCGGTGGTCGCGGCGTTATTTTGGAGTTTGTGTGCCCGCTTTGCCATTGTGCCGTACTTTGAGTGGCTCCCCTCCGGGGAAAATGTTGCGGACGCAACTACCCGCGACGCTTTGTGGGCGCAGTTTTGTCGGGTAGCCCGGGTGCAGCTGCTCTCCTGTGGAGCTTTGACGGACGAAATTCAGAGGTTCCTGACCACAGTGGCTACACCACTGGAAGACCCTTGCGAGTTGCTCCAGTCGATTCCGGCTGAGGATTTGCTTGCTCAAGTTTGAGCACTTCAGGCTTTCCTGGGAGTGTTTTTGTACATGTGAGCGGATTTTGTGTGCAGGTACTTGTCGATGGCATATCCACTCTGTTTCATGGATTTCCTCCAACTTTGGAAGGTTGCTTTGCTCCTTTTCTGGCCAACGCCAGCTTTCGGATCCCACTCAGTGGGGCGTGTTCGCGACTACCCACCGGTACTTTTTCTTTGGTTCGGTCCCGTACTTTCTCGTCTCTCGTTGCGGGGATTCTCTCTTCGCGTCCGCGTTGTGCCTTGCCGAGGGCAATGGGGGCGGGGCTGGGTCTCCCCTCATTCAACCACCTGCGGTGGGGTTCTGAGGGGTCTTGCCCTTTTGGCAAGGTGGTGGTGAGGCGTGCTGGGCCTCGGTTTTGTTAGATAGGCCCAGTACGCTTTACCCAGCCCCAACGGTGCGGTCCAACGGGCCGCTCGGGTTTCGGGATACCACATGGAAGGAACGAAACGAAAAGCGGCAATCAAAATGATGACGTCGCCTACCACGAGCCCTCGGGGTTGAAAGGCCGCGTGTTGATCGAGGCGCTAAGCCTGTTCCGCATTGCCGCAGCAGCCTCGGAGCAGGAATTTTCCGCGGAAAGGGAAAGGAGACAGTTTTTGCTGGGACGAAGAGAAAGTGCGGGCGCAGGCGCGGCAACAGCGATTTTTTCTTCGAAGGCAACAAGCTCAACAACAGCGAGATTACAATTTCGCAGTGGAAGTGCGAGTACGTCAGGAGTGTTGCGTGGGAATCGTTCTCAAAGCACGATTTTTGGAACCTCTTCGGCTTCCACCTCATCTTCGCGGAGGGGAAATTATGCAAACCGAAACAGTGCCTCCGCTTCCGGCATCTTGCGAGATTTGCACCGCGGCGCGGCTTCTCGGAAAGTGCAGCAAGGGGACCGTCCTGCTGCGGGCGCGGGGGGAGGTAGCGGGGCAACGACATCAGCCATCAATTTTACGAAGAGCAGCTCCAGCATGGTGGAAAATTTTCTGCAAAACTACAAGTCTACGGGTCTCCACGACCCGCTGAAGTTGACGATTCAGGATTTCCTCCAGCGAAACGAAAACCAAAAGCCTCTGGACGAGCAGTTTCAAGTTTCGAAAAAGATCTGGAAAAAAATCTCGACGGAACTTTTGTCAAACAGCCGGAAGGATTTCGACAACGACTGGACTCCGGACCTGCAGATCGGGAAGGAGAGTAAGAAGGAAAGGGAAAAGCGAGTGAGCAAAGCCTCTTTTTCGTGCTTCACTTCTTTCGGTACTAGAAGCTCTGATGTTTCATCTCATGCTTTTTCTTCTAGAAGTGGTGCAGCTGGTGCTACTTCATCTCCCTCCTTCGCTGACAGTTTACTGGTTTCTGCAATGCGAAATAGCAGACCGCCCCCAACTATCCTGTGCAAAAGTATCGCACTCGTATTGCAGTCATGCATTGCAAATCCTTTTGTTAAGGTAAATCCGCATTACAAATTTCATTTCTCATGCTGGGGAAATTTGTAATGCGTATAATATACGAGTGCGATACTTTTGCAATGCATACCAACCGCAGACGCGTTGTTCTCTGCCATGACCACAACAGCTGCTGTCGCAGTGAACAACAAACAATCGTCTTCTAGTACCGTGGTAACCGTGGAGCCGTTTCTGCAGATTGTGCAGGCGTTTTTGGAGGTGTGGGGGGAGAGGCTGTTGTGCGAAAAGCTTTCCGACGTGGCGCAGAGACTCTACGATGAATACTTCGGCGTGGAGGAGGACACTGGTTTCGAAGAAACTGATGAGCAGGGATTTACATGACGAGGATCCCGGCCTCAGGACGCCGATAATGAGCCAAACGAAAGGTGTGCATCTCGTCACCCAGGTAGTACTTTCGAAGAAATAGTAGAAACCTGACACAAAGAGCAACTTGAGCTTCGATAGTACCGTCGGAAACAGAAATTTTGAAACGGGAACCCAGAAACGCGACAGGCGGACGAAGCTGAAATATGATCGAACACCACACAGCACTTGTTCTTTATTCTGAGGTATTCGTGTGATTAGTGCTGTTGACTTTTGGTTTATCGCATTCGATCCTGTTTTTAGTATTGAGCGGTGCGGCAGTACCCTCGCGTCGACCTCTGCGGAGGCTTTACGAGAAAATGAGAATCAATTGATGGATTTGATAAGAGTGCTGCGTCGTGTGTGATGGAGTGTCGTGCGGACTGTTTCCACTCGCTCTACGTTGCTACAGCTGCTATTGGCTGTAGCTATTGGAAAATGTTGAAAACCAATGACCACAACTCGAGCAGATGATGAATGCACAGCTAGGTGGGAGAAAATTAAATTTTTGTTTGACCGCTACCTGCATAACTATTGCATGCTGGTGTCTTGGACTTGGAAGGTCGTTTTGCAACGTACTGTTACGTAAGAAGAATAAAAGGAGACACAAGATGACGTCCATACTTGCAGGACGGCCCCTGCGGAAGCACACTGTGAGTCCGCTTTCTGCAGACCGCAGAACGAGGAGTCTTACCGCTTCTCACTCCAGCACCTCGTCCCTTACGCTAGTACTAGTGGTTTTTCATCTCGTAGTCCTTCTTCATCTCGCGGCCGGGGTCGCGGGGCTCGATGTGCAGGACCACACACGAATACACTCTGGGGACAAAATTGCCGTCTGGGAAGCGGAGGACTCCGGGAAAAAACACGAAACCTCCTGGTCGACGCCGGCGACGAGGCGATTGCGTCAGGAGAAGGAACAAGAACTACCCGCGCAGGAGCCGAGCAGCGCGAGCAGACCGGTGTCGTCCCCCGTGGTGGAGCGCTACAAGACCAAGATGGAGGAGGCCGCGAGCTACAATTCCGCCCAGTACCTACTGGAGGCGAATGGCCGGGGCGAGGCTGTAGTGTCCAGTGCGGCACACGACGACAGCACCGGCGGCCAGAACCGGCCGCGGATGGCCGAAAGAAGAAACCGTCGCACTGGCAACGCCGCGCCAGCCGCTTCCTTGAGTGACAGCGCCGGTCCCGCAACAGGCATGATGTCACATCCGGCAGCGAAGGCGAAGCTGAAGAGCGCCGAACTAGTACAATCGGCAAACAGTTCTCCGGGTAGGAGCCCACGGACGTCAGGAAACACAAATAGCACAAGATCAAGATCTTCTATGGCTCCCTACAATGGCCGTGGTGGCTCGGGTCCTGCAGAAAGAACTGGCGGCGAACCAAACAGAAGATACACAGAAGGGCTGCAGCGGGAACGAGCTGGTGTCGTGAGCGCTGCGCAGGGGGTCCTCCGGGACGCGCGGAGATCCAGCAGAGCCCGGTCGAAGACAATCGCAATTGCTGGATCCAACATAAAAACCGCTGGTGAAGATTTGAATGTCAAAGCGGTCACCGCATCTAGCGAGCATAGAGGCCTAATATCCTCTGCGAAAGTATCGTACTCGTAGTGAAAATAAAGAAAACGATACGTAACTGTAGGTATGCACCATGACTCTCTTCCTGGTTCGTATGGAAAACCAGCATGGCAAAATCCTAATCCAGTTTTCCTGTTAGAAAAATTAGCTGTCATGCGATGCGCATACACTAGTATGATACACTTGTAGCTATGCATGCACATCACCAGCCGCCAACTTGATCGACGGCAAAATCGACACGCTCGCACACACCGGAGATCATACGGCTGCAACTGCCGATGATACTAATGGTGGCGTGGGACAGAAGTGCCCCTGGTTTCAAGTGGACTTGGGCGCCACGATGACTGTGGACCAGGTTCAGGTCATCGGTTTTTTATTCTCTGCCAGCTGGAGTTAGTGTGCATCTTCTTGGTCTTCGTGCTACTAAGAAAGAACCAGATGGCGGCCACTGTCTTTGTGCTTTTTGTTGCAGATCCACTTACTAAAAATGTCAAGGCCGAAGAGGTTACTAACGACCACGAAAGAGTGTTCAAGTTTATCATTTTCAAAAATAAAGGTAAAGCTTACCGCGGACTTGACTGTTTGGAGGATGCGGCGGCTCTTACTCAAGGATCCGATGTTGGACACCGGTGGAGTTGGTGTTGACTTCACCGCAACAGATATGGCGGGTGGAACAAGATTAAAAAAAATCGCAGAGAGAATGGTCGTCGAAAGAAGGCAGACATCGGAATACTTACTAGGAGTATTCGCTGTTGTTGGGAGCGAAGGGTTAGAGTTGTCCTCATGTGTGATCGGTAGAAAAGTCCTGTAGTTCGTCCACAAATTGGCAGATTGTGCACAGCAAATTTACAAATGGCAAATGATGAAGCTAAAGTTAGTGGAATTTTAGGTTTGCAACGGTTTTATTCAAGTTTCTTTCTAGCGATCGCGACTGGGTTTGCAATTGTGTCGAGGACAGCAAGCCAAACACAAGACATGGTCCTACTCGCACGGTTTTCACCAATCAACAGTAGAGCTCGAGAAGGACGCGCTTCTTCTAGCTACGCGAGCTGCAAGAACTACGCCCACTTTTCCAAATTTGCACTTATCTGCGTGCCTTTGTTGAACTGGCATAACTGCTTCGCGGACGCTTTGCAGAACACCGGCAACAATGCTTTTGATGCGGCAAAAGTCGACGCGAATGGAGACAGCGACGCTATTGCCGAGACCGGAGGTACAGGAGGTCTCTCGGGGCGGGGGGATGACAATCCGGAGCCGAAAAGGTGCATATTTGTCGTAATCGTACTCCGTGATACTCTTCGAGAACATTACATACAAGACGAGTATTACGTAGGGCGCAATGCCAATGAGAAGATGGCCTAATACTGCTCATAAAAAGTACCTCTAATAAGCATCACCGACCAACTACAGGTACCGTCTCCGTGGCACGAAAAGAATGCAGGAACTGGCAGCGCGCAAGTTAGCGGCGGAACAAGCTGCCGCCGCAGCCGCGTCTTTCTTCGAAACTAGGAAGGAGACGAATTTGAATTCGCTCGCTTCCGCTTCTGAGTCGGGGGTGACCAGGAGCACAATGAAAGAAAAGGAGAACGCGGAAGCGTCGGCGAGTCGAGCGGAGCTGATGGACAAGAGCAGCACTGCTGAGCACCAGCAGCAGATGAAGCAGGATGCGCCCAAACTAAACCCGTTGCAGGTGGTTGCGAGACGGCCAGACACGGAACACGCAGAGGAAGTAGAAAGAATACTGCAGGACCACCCGGGCCTCAGAGGAGAAAAATTGAAGAACGGAACACCTCTGGCCGACGTGATGCTTGGTTTGCAAAACGGGGCGGAGAAAATGGATCAGAAGTTCGCCGATTACAACAATCGAGCAAGGGGGGCACCAGCGGAGGGCTTGGAGAGAAAAAACGATCAGAGGCAGGAGACGGAGGAAGGCCACGACCACAAAGATGGCACAAGTAAATTGACGGACGTGGAAATAGCACATCACCAAAAGTTAGAACTCGAAGCATTGGTGCAAGCAGGCGGGGAGCGGGCCGAGAAAGTGAGGAACGGCTTCCACGGAGGCTTGGCGCCGGGTCTGCAGCCCGATAGCCGAAGCAAGGAGGGGCAGTTTGGGGTTTCCGATGGATTAAGTTTGCGGAGTTTGATTCCACATGTACATGTAGAAGATTAACAAGACGAGCCATGTCCTTGGGCGCTAGAGGTTGGTGCAGCAGCGCGACCTCGCGAGAAACTCACTTTGTCCGAAAATCCAGATATTGTCCAGCGCTATTTATTTGCATCGAACATTCGTAGGTTTCTTCGTTTCAGACGGAGGTGCCTATGCTGTGAGATGGAAAAAAAGGTACAAGAACTGGCTCTGGTGGCCCCTTTCTCTTCCAGGGAAAGGCGCGCTGAGTGTTTTCGTTGCCACCATGCATCGTATGTATCGTGATCGTCTCAGTCGTTGTCGTTCTTCAGCTATAAGAGCAAGAGTTTCTTCTATCTTCGCGAGCCCGAGCGTCCCGTTATCATGCTAGTCGTGGTCTACAGCTGTCATCGTGATGTGATCTGCTACGGTCTCGGGGCTCCTGCTATCCCTATCCATTCAACGCGGTTTGTAATTACTCCATAAAATTGTAATTTACATGATTTTTCCATTGTTTTGTAAATTTACATGATTCATCATAATTGGTAGCCACTGGTAAAGATGCTATAAGCCGTGATCTCGGAAAACTGTCTGTCTTCGCTCTTTCATGATCGTCAGTTATCTGTTCGCCCTCCAGTTGAACATCAAATGCCATGCTGTGTCGTTTAGAGGTAAAGTTAACCCATGTCGGCGCCGACAAGACGCACCACCTGCTAGTACAGGGGACCACGACCCTCTAGCGCGGGAGCGTCAGTCACCACCTCCTAGGGCAGGGGAAGAGCCGGAACCTTGATACTTGTTCCGGCGGAAACGAAAGTACTCATGTCGGAGGAGGTGCCGCTGCCGGTTTCCTTCGAAAATGGCGCTTCGGCTTCCCCCAGCCCGCAGCCGCCACCGCAACTGCCACCGCCCCAGCGCAAACCCCCACTGTACGAGTTTGGGACCCTGCGATTTTACGAGAAATTTGAGCAGAAGCTCGAGGACGACTTGTACGAGAAAATCCTGCGGTATGGCACCGGCAGCCGGATGCGGGTCCCGTACGCCGATCAGACGGTGAGCCAGCTGAAGCACGTCCGTGCCTGCTTGAAGCAGCTGCGAAAAACGCCGGACAACACGCAAGCGGTCTTCACCGACATCCACACCAAAGGGGCGTTCTTCGACTACGAGAATGCCGCGAAGTCTCGGCCCAGCACGCGCGGGGCGGGGTCGCGCCCGTCGAGTACGACCAGCAGCACGATCGGCACCATGGGCAAGCTCATGAACTTTTCTCGTAAAGTGAAGAGCGCGGCCGATGTACTGTTGCGGATCCGTATCCACAGGAAATGTAGTGATATTCCCTTACAAGAACAACTACATAGTACAAATACAAACACGGCGTCTGCATGACGGAACTTACCTTCCAAGCCAATTCTGCATGACAAGTTGATGTCTTTGTGTGTCCTCCATAAGCGGGAATTATAAATTTGCATTGCATAATCCGCAAGGTGAAGCGGGTGCTGGACCCGAATCTGCGCGTCTTCCCGCGAAGGGTGTTCTCGGGCTGGTACAGCGAGGAGGCGGTGGAAATCATGAACGACGAGGAATTATCGGAAAAAAAATTTCAAGTGCAGTGCTGCGAGTGTCTCGACGACCCGCTCTCCACCCGCAACATCATACCCTCCCACACCGACTACAAAGGCATCCTGATGGAGGTCCGGATCGACCGCAATCTGGAGATCGAGGCGGAAGGGATGAAAAGCAAACAGGCCACGGGCGACAAAGATGGAACAACTGGGGCTACACTTGCGAACGCCAAAGGCGCAAAGGCGAAACTCAAAGCCGCTGCAACGATGGTGTTCTCTGCCTTGACGAATACCGGTGCGACTTCTAGTGGCGGGGGGAAAAGTGGTAGTAGTGCAGGAGGAGGAAATAAAAACAGCTCGAATGTTAAAGGCGTCAAGAAGGCGGGTGGTGGCGTGTCAAATAAAGCTGCAAATAACTCAGGGACAGGGGCTGCTACTGCTTCTCCAAATAACTCGAATAGAAACCAAAATCAACAGCTGCAACTTTCGCTGGGCGGTGGGACGTCGAACACAAGTAGAAGTACAACAGGAGGTCAACGTCAACATCCAGGCGGCGATCAGCAGAAAATGTTTTCTTCGAATTCGGCTTTTCTCCCCCCCTTCCCGATAGAAGAGCCGAAGCGGGACACCGACCTGGTCCGAGTAGTGAACACCGGAGAGATCTACACAAACCTGGTAATCCGCGGTAAGCTGAACGAGCAAACGTACTTTGATCCGCGGACGCTCCGCGAAGATTTTTACGACGACGCCAAGAAGGGCTTCCAATGGTACTTCGATCAGTGTGAGGAAGTGTGGAAGCGGAAACAGGCGGAAAAGCAACTCGCACTGGAGCAAGCAGGGGCGGGCGAAGCAGACGCGACGGGGGGCGGAGCGACAGCGCAAGGCGCCGCAGGAGGTGCGCGGGCTCCGACTTCTACGCAGAACAAGCAAGGACGTGGGACGAGTGGTAAGTCCACCTCAGGGCAGACGAGTGCAAAGAACAAAACTTCGCCCACGACCGGAGGTGGCAACAAAAGAGGAAATGCCACGACCTCTGGCGCCGGTCCAGCAACATCTGGAGGCACCAACTCGGCCGGGTTGGCGATGGCAATCACCAGCGTTTCCTCCTCGCCTTCGAACAAAATTGCGCCAGCGAGTTCAACTGGGAAAGCTGCGAGCGACGCCGGGGGATCCCATAGTACCGACGCCGTTGTGTCGTTCTCGACAGCTGGCACCGGTACGGTGCTGCAGCAGCAGCAATTTGCTGTAGGCCCGGACCAAATATCCTCCCCGTCCAACTTGCACCACATTGAGCTTCAAGACCGCGGCCAACAACTTGCCGCAATTACTACCGCCGCCGGCGGAAACAATAACACCTCCAAAATAAACAAGAAAGACGAGACCAAGTTGCACACGGACTGGACGGGATTTCAGGAATGGTTTCGCGAAAAACACAAGCAGACGGCGAAGCTCCCGAAGGCGTCGGAGAGCGACTACTTTCTCTTCTCCAGCGAGATCTCGCGGAAACGGGAGATTGTGACGGACTTCGGCAGCGTGGAGCGCTTCGAGAGCGCGAAGGAGGATTTGTTCGATTTGAAATACGGTCTGTTTGACAAAGATTACTTGACCTCAGAAAGAAGAATCACCCGCCTCTCCTGGATCCAACCCCTGTTGCGGAAAAAAATGGTACCTGTGAACGAACCTGTAGCTGCGGAAGCACCGCAGAAGCGGGGTGGACGAACACTGGCCGCGAGGAATACTGGTGGCACTACTTCCGACCGAAAAGGGCAAAAAACGAACCCACATCTAAATAATCCGGAGGAAGAATTGAAGGAGGTTGTGGAGTTTCTCTATCCCTACTCGGCGTTACCAAAGGTGGACTTGAAGTACTACTTCCTCGGCGGACCCGACCTCGCCGCGCTGGTCATTGCGCACAAGCGGAAGCAGAAAAAGTACCAGATTGAGATCGAGTTCGAGCAGGGGCCGCTGGGCAAGTTGCGGGACCAGGAGAAGAAGCTCGAGCGCAAATTGTTCGGGAAGCGCTACTTCGGCGACGTCGGGGATGCTGACGACGTTGAGGTTGAAAACCCGAAAGAGAAAAAGCAGGTCACGTTTCTATGCACAGGAATCATGATTTAGCGCGCATGGGCTTGGTATTGGTTGCTTGGGCACGGCGTCGGTGGTTTGGGTTTCGCAAATGTCGCGCGTGCATAAACAGGGCTCTGCCCTAGCGCTTTCTCCTGTGATCTTCTCATTGCGCAACTCATCATAAGAAAGAAACTCAAGGTTCTTCAGGGACTAACATGCGCAAATTCGTGTATGCATTTCGTACATGATCAAGAACGTCCGTCTCCATGCGCGCTAGATTTGTATTCCGCATACTTTGCCGGTATGGCGAAGAAGATGCAGGCGCTGGGTGTGATGGCTAATATGGGGGTGATGAAAAACAAAACCAATCCGCTGAAACCCTACCGCGCCGGGCTTCAGAAGGTCCGGGAGAAATTGTTCGTTCTGGAGGCGAAAAAGGCGGAAATGCTGGCGGACGTGGACATCCAGGAGGTGCCGCTTCCCGGACACCGGTTCCTGGATGAAAACTCGTACTACACAATCGAGCCAGAAACGGTGACGATCAAACCCGGCGTGAGCGAGCAAGTCGTAGGTCTTGGTGAGGAAGAAGACGATGGTGCCAATAATGCAGTTGCCTACAACAACGTCGACAACCAGACCGAAGAAGACCCGCCACAGGAGCCCGACAAAATCGTCCGCAATGACGGGGTGATGGAAATTCTTGGCGACGTGCGGATCCAATACGAGAGTGCACAATCTTTCTTTTCACTTTTTCCCGCGATTTGTCATGCAAGATACCGACTTGATCATTCTCAATCTTTCTCTTCTGGATGTGGACCTGGAATTGTTCGCATTTACGATTTCTAGGACCAGTGGTGCCGCTGAAGCTACGTCGCCACGGCGCTTTTATTGCATCTATTACTTTACTAGAGACCATGCAAGTGACGGAGTTTGAGTTGTCGGGGTGAACATCAAGTTGTGTACTCTCATATCCAAGTTGTGAAAACGACAATTAAGACACCGATCCCTATCGACCCAGAAGAACTCGCGGAGGACCCGAACAAAATCCACAAACTGACTTTCACCACTTCCACCTCGCTGCGGTTGAACTTTCAGTTTCTGATCAAGGCGAGGACGCGAATGCAGTGGCAGCGGCGGTACATATCCTGTGCAAAAGTATCGTACTCGTATTGCAGTCATGCATTACAAATCTTTTTGTTTTAGCTAAATCCGCATATGCTGAGAAATGCATTTATACGAGTGCGATACTTTTGCAGTTCATAGTACAGCAAGGAATACAAGTGGGATATGGATGTGCTGAAGCAGCAAATCGAGAAGTTGACGCTGGGCGACATCCAACGCGAAGCGGCGAACGAAGGCGTTCCGAACTTGCTGTCCGTGGAGAGCAGCACCAAGGGCAATATCAACTGCAAATATGTCTGGGTCTGGAAGCGTGGGAGCTTGTCATGCAGATTTTCCATGACCCATGAGGTCTGGAATGCAGGACCTGGCATGACAGATTCGCTGAGATCTATATCATGCCGGTCCTGCACGAGAAACTCGCTCTCAACTTGTTCAAAGGTGGACAACTCTTGGCAGTCATGCAACACAGATTTTTCCAGGGTGTAGACTTGGCATCACAAGTTACTGCCTTCCAGACCCAGACATATTTGCAATGCATAGGCAAGTGGTGGATCCAACTGAAAGATCCGAAGGCCCTGCAGATCTTGGCGATCATTGACCCGAATGGGGTGAGGAACTTGCAGGCCGACTACGAAGACCGACACTCGTACCCAGGATGAAAAAGGCTGTCGTGTTAGTGGAACTTTTTTGTGATAAAAACAGCATACACGACAAATATCCATCGATCTCCCGGTTGGACAGCAAAAACTTGTCATGCGCAGATAGTACGCGAAAACGCAACACTTTATGGGACTCGCCTACGATGCTTGTCGAGCATGAGAAGCGAAGATACCTGTTAATTCGTGTTTCGCTGCGCAAGAATGCAACACAAACAAGTTACACTTCACTCTCATCACTTTTTTTCTTGCATAGCTCGCGGCTCTTCCAGGAGAAGTGGCAGGAATACTTGCTGGGAAAGACAGATTTGCGGGAGATGCCGCACGATTTCCAGAATTTGCGGAACGTTTTGTTTGATGTGAGCAGCAGCGACTCGTCAGGTGGGAGTAGCAGCTCGGCAAGTGGCAGCTCGACAGAAGACTCGTCTTCTTCAGCTGCGGAGGGGGACGTCGAGAGTAGTAACCCGTCCGAGGCAGAAGGGGGGGCAAGTAGTAGGAACGCGGGTGACGGTGTTAACAACAACGGCCTAGTTGTCGTCGCTCCATCAACCTCCGCCGGCACGACAAACGCAGGACCACAAGACCCGGCCAGCAAAGTGGTTTCGTTTGAACAAGGTGGAGGTGATCAAACTCTTGCAAGAACTACATCTATTCCCCCAGCAGCACCAACCAACAGCAACGCCAAAGCATATCCATCGCTCCCAGTGTTGAGAAAATCGGATTTGAAGCCGATCACGGTTTGCCTGTCCGCGTTCTCCAAACACACCCACCTTTCCGACGTGGACAGCTTTATGCGTGGGAAAAAGGCGAACCCGGCGGACATTCTGGCCTTCAATTTGAAGGCGGAGGAGCCGAAGATTTTGAAGAAGTTCGAAGAAATGGAAGAGACTAGGAGAACGGAAGAAATGTTGTTCTTAAAAAATCGCGCACTGGAAGAGGAAAAGGAAAGACGTGAGACTAGTACAGCTGCTGGCACCGGTAATTATCGTACTAACCCTCAACCGGGTACTAGCCCTAGCGCGTCTGGCTCAGCTGCAAATGAGAGGATCATGTCGGGTGCGAACACCAACGGCGATGTAGAAGATGTTGGGCAAGAACATCTACTTGATTCCACAGCGAGACGCGAAGAAGGAGCAGGTCAACCACAAGCAGCGGAGGAGGAAGAACAAGAAGAAAAAGAAGAGCAAATCTTCAACCCTGAGCCCATCAAGCAGCAGGAGATCCTGCACTCCGAGACGTTATGCAAGCTGTATTTCCGGGCCACGACCTCGAAAATGCCTTTTGGGCAGAAGTACGAAGAGAACTTTTACGGACCCATCCCGAAATATGGAAGCGTCAGGATTGAACTCGTCAAAGTTGAAAGAATTTCTTATGCACAAATTGCAAGGCATGAAGTGCCTCTTTTGCAGGGGCGGCAAGCAAGGCCGACCGTGAGCATGCTTGGGGTCTGCGGTAGAGCTGCTAAAGTAGCATGACAAAAGACGCCTTCTGTCCCTAAACAGCATGACAGACTGGATTTAGACGGTGCCGAAATTTGTCATGCACCGCTTGGAAATTGGGCTTCCAACTGGTATCGATTTTATGCATTACAAATTATTTCAACTTTGTCGATTTCAATACTGACACAACCATACGAAATCCAACCTCGGGTCCTGTTGGCGGAAGTGCTGGCAAAATTTGCTGACCCAGCCGGGGTATCAAATGTAAAAATGTCTGGGTCTGGAAACTTGTAATGCTGGGTGGCGTCTCATGATGAGGCTGCAAATGCTGGCGCAGCATGACAAATTTCTGAGCTCCTAGGTGTTGCCTATTCTGCATGACAAACTGCGCTTTTGCATCACAAAAAAACGGAGCTCTTAGGTAACGTGCATGACAGATTTAAGAGTCACGCCAGACAAGCATGACAAACATGAATTCTTCCAGACCCAGACATTTTTACATTTGATACGGGGATTCCGGAGTGGAGCAAGGACCCGGTCGCGACGCGGTTTGAGAAGCTAAAGTGGTTCGCGCGGAGGCGGTTAGCGTGGAAGCATTTTGTGTGGCGGGACGCGGACTTTGAGAGGTTTTTGGCCGAACGGGGGGAAGAGGTGAAGAAGGGAATAGACGTAAGCGTGCTGATCGCGCGGAAAAACAAGCGGTTGGCCAACAGCTACGCACCGGTAATCTTTTTCACGAACGACGAGCACCAAAGCGAGGATGTCGACGGGAGGACGCGTGGTACTTCTACGTTTCATCTCAGTGCCCCCGATGTGGGAGGCTCATTTGGAGGAACAGGAGATGTTGAGGCTGACCCCGACACTGTCACGGCACTCGGAGGTCGTAACGCAGTTGCGTCGACGTCGTCGTCGGTGGATCAGCTACAAGTAGCTCCCGCGTTCGCCGCGTTTACTTCATCCAAAGTAGATGAACCAGTGAAAAATTACAACGCCATCTACCCGGTTCTGAGCATGATCACGGTGCCTGGATCGGAGGAAATGGAGCATTTCACTGCAGATTTGCCACAATTTTTGGAGAAGATGAAGGAGCAAGCTCGGGCAGCAACGTCATCTCCTGGAGACGATAGAGAGATAACATCAGCGGGGAATTTTGACGTCGTCGTGGGTGGAACTGGTGAGCAGGTAGGTGTTGAGCAGAAGGCGAAAGCCCCTGTAATGAAAAAAGCTGTTGACGACGAGAAAAGCAGAGCTAGTAGCACGTTCGGAGACCACAGTACGACCAGCACCGCGCCGGCCGCGGAGGAAACCCTGACGGATCGCCGCAAGCGGTTCGACACGCGGTGTTACCTCTTTGCGAAGCCGGTCTCTTTCCCACAGCAAAGCGCAGATCATGGAGCTGGTGCCTATTCCTTCAACTTCGGCACAGTTTCTTCTTCCGAGGTACAACGCGCGGCTGCGCCGGGCAACAATCAGGCCAAGCACGAGCGGACCACGAGACGAGGACTTGTACCCGATTCGCGCTCCCCCTTCCGCCCGGACTTGCCCGAACATTCGTTTCTCCACCATTTTCTGCACAACACGTCGCCGACGCAACACGTTGTGGTGTATCCGGAAGTTGAAAAGCACACGATGGAGGATCTCGTCGCCAACAAACAGCCCGACAGCATCGCCCAACTGCTGTTTCGCCAGTCTTTCTACACAGCGTCCCCCCACGACCACGAATTTTTTTCCCTCGATAAATGCGGCGCGTTTCCGAACCAGTTCGTCAGCACTGGAGACCGTCAACAGCAAGACCAGCGGACTTCTAACAGCGGCAATCAAAATGATGACGTCGCCTACCACGAGCCCTCGGGGTTGAAAGGCCCCGCCCCCCGCCTACCTCAGTTCCTCGATATGTTGAGGCCCAGCCAGAACCTTTGACAATTCTACTGCAACCTAAATCATGTTCAGACTCGCGTTGGAATAATCTACCATCTGAAAAAATCCAAATTATTACCACGAAAATGCGTGGTACTGGGTCAGAAATCTAGAGGATCCCCAGCTAGGGGCTGGCACGAGATGACATGATGAGAGCTGGGGCTCTAGGTCTATCGGGGTCGGTTTAGAAATCCCTGCAAAGTTTGCTACTGGTAAATGAGATCCCCCTCCCCCCCTTCCACTAGGCGCGGGTACCATACACGCTGCCTGTTTTTATCTGCTTCGACATTCTCACAGGGGACATTCTAGGTGCGCGCAAGTGTAGCTTGCCGCCTAATTCCACAGTATACTCACACGCTTCTCACTTAGCACCTTGCTTAGAGATAGAGACCATGCCCGCGAAGGCGAAAGCGAAGCACCCGGCTAAGGCTAAGGCCCCGGCCAAGCCTAAGGGGAAGGCGCCTCCCCACAAGGCTAAAGCTGCGAAAGCCGTAGCCAAACCGGCCGCGAAGATGAAGGCTCCGGCCTTGGGGGCCCGGGAAGTAGATGAAGAGGAAATTTGTGCGGCCCTGTTAGCGGAAGAAGGGGAAGAAGAGATCCCGGCCCGCAAGGGTCCGCCGCCGGTCAAGAAGAGAAAGGTGGCGCAGGATTTCAGTGACAGAGACGTCGAGGCCTTTGGGATCTCTCGCTCCGAATTATTAGCACATCAGCGGGAGCCTTCCCCGCTTGATTCTCTGTCCTCGGTAGATGTGCCTGCGGAAAGTCTTGCGCGGGCTGTTTTGGACTACAACGGGGTGAAGTCGTTCCACATTTGCAGCGCGCCCACCTGTCGGTGGTCGCGGCGTTATTTTGGAGTTTGTGTGCCCGCTTTGCCATTGTGCCGTACTTTGAGTGGCTCCCCTCCGGGGAAAATGTTGCGGACGCAACTACCCGCGACGCTTTGTGGGCGCAGTTTTGTCGGGTAGCCCGGGTGCAGCTGCTCTCCTGTGGAGCTTTGACGGACGAAATTCAGAGGTTCCTGACCACAGTGGCTACACCACTGGAAGACCCTTGCGAGTTGCTCCAGTCGATTCCGGCTGAGGATTTGCTTGCTCAAGTTTGAGCACTTCAGGCTTTCCTGGGAGTGTTTTTGTACATGTGAGCGGATTTTGTGTGCAGGTACTTGTCGATGGCATATCCACTCTGTTTCATGGATTTCCTCCAACTTTGGAAGGTTGCTTTGCTCCTTTTCTGGCCAACGCCAGCTTTCGGATCCCACTCAGTGGGGCGTGTTCGCGACTACCCACCGGTACTTTTTCTTTGGTTCGGTCCCGTACTTTCTCGTCTCTCGTTGCGGGGATTCTCTCTTCGCGTCCGCGTTGTGCCTTGCCGAGGGCAATGGGGGCGGGGCTGGGTCTCCCCTCATTCAACCACCTGCGGTGGGGTTCTGAGGGGTCTTGCCCTTTTGGCAAGGTGGTGGTGAGGCGTGCTGGGCCTCGGTTTTGTTAGATAGGCCCAGTACGCTTTACCCAGCCCCAACGGTGCGGTCCAACGGGCCGCTCGGGTTTCGGGATACCACATGGAAGGAACGAAACGAAAAGCGGCAATCAAAATGATGACGTCGCCTACCACGAGCCCTCGGGGTTGAAAGGCCGCGTGTTGATCGAGGCGCTAAGCCTGTTCCGCATTGCCGCAGCAGCCTCGGAGCAGGAATTTTCCGCGGAAAGGGAAAGGAGACAGTTTTTGCTGGGACGAAGAGAAAGTGCGGGCGCAGGCGCGGCAACAGCGATTTTTTCTTCGAAGGCAACAAGCTCAACAACAGCGAGATTACAATTTCGCAGTGGAAGTGCGAGTACGTCAGGAGTGTTGCGTGGGAATCGTTCTCAAAGCACGAATTTTGGAACCTCTTCGGCTTCCACCTCATCTTCGCGGAGGGGAAATTATGCAAACCGAAACAGTGCCTCCGCTTCCGGCATCTTGCGAGATTTGCACCGCGGCGCGGCTTCTCGGAAAGTGCAGCAAGGGGACCGTCCTGCTGCGGGCGCGGGGGGAGGTAGCGGGGCAACGACATCAGCCATCAATTTTACGAAGAGCAGCTCCAGCATGGTGGAAAATTTTCTGCAAAACTACAAGTCTACGGGTCTCCACGACCCGCTGAAGTTGACGATTCAGGATTTCCTCCAGCGAAACGAAAACCAAAAGCCTCTGGACGAGCAGTTTCAAGTTTCGAAAAAGATCTGGAAAAAAATCTCGACGGAACTTTTGTCAAACAGCCGGAAGGATTTCGACAACGACTGGACTCCGGACCTGCAGATCGGGAAGGAGAGTAAGAAGGAAAGGGAAAAGCGAGTGAGCAAAGCCTCTTTTTCGTGCTTCACTTCTTTCGGTACTAGAAGCTCTGATGTTTCATCTCATGCTTTTTCTTCTAGAAGTGGTGCAGCTGGTGCTACTTCATCTCCCTCCTTCGCTGACAGTTTACTGGTTTCTGCAATGCGAAATAGCAGACCGCCCCCAACTATCCTGTGCAAAAGTATCGCACTCGTATTGCAGTCATGCATTGCAAATCCTTTTGTTAAGGTAAATCCGCATTACAAATTTCATTTCTCATGCTGGGGAAATTTGTAATGCGTATAATATACGAGTGCGATACTTTTGCAATGCATACCAACCGCAGACGCGTTGTTCTCTGCCATGACCACAACAGCTGCTGTCGCAGTGAACAACAAACAATCGTCTTCTAGTACCGTGGTAACCGTGGAGCCGTTTCTGCAGATTGTGCAGGCGTTTTTGGAGGTGTGGGGGGAGAGGCTGTTGTGCGAAAAGCTTTCCGACGTGGCGCAGAGACTCTACGATGAATACTTCGGCGTGGAGGAGGACACTGGTTTCGAAGAAACTGATGAGCAGGGATTTACATGACGAGGAT